TTTTTTTTTTTGTTCAAAGCGGTTATATATTTATTACACGTGTAAAACGTTATACACGTTGTAAAACACACCTCTGAATTCTGCGAATAGCTTTAAAATATGTTATCCTATGGAATTCCACCGATACTACTTTATTTAATAGTAATAATGTGTACCTTTGTGAAATGGAATGAAATAGTTGTATAGAAAATAGTTAACATGACTAAACACAAGTAGAAATCAAACTTCCGCGGAGCGCCCTAGAATTGTTTTACTAAAGAAAGCGGAATATAGGCACTCGAATTCCAAGTCTTTTCAAGGGTGGGAGGCGCAATAAATCTTGAAAAAAAAAAACGTTAATAATCAATTTTTTCGCCAATTACACCATACAAAGACAAACCTTTGTTTCTTTTCTTTTAGTTGGCGACGATAGAAAACGCACTGCATAAAACAACAACGTTCTTTTTTCTCAACGCTAGCGGTTGGTGTCTGACAATAAACTAACCGAATTTCATCTTCCCATTTTGTATACCTCAAATAACAGCGTTGTGCTCACCTGACCCCCAGTAGCGTTTACCTCACGCACCTGACCTTAAAGTCATTAACGGCTTTTGATTTTGTTAAAAAAGGATATTGGCTTTCTCGGAATCTCCGACGTACATTATTAATAAAGAAAGGCGGCGCCACATGTGAAAAGCGCAGGTTACCTTTATTAAGCATAAAATGTAAGCAATTTTTATTCACCCACGACACGTGTTTTATCGTCATGTGGAAAATGACCCGAGAACAACTGTGCACAGCTAAGTGTTCACCATTACACGTCTCCGTCAATATCAAATAAAAAGTGAGCAGCAATTGGATGGCGTAAAAATGCACTAAAAACGGTGAGATCAATGCGCATTGTACATAATATTTTTACCGCCCTAATGGCAAAACGTCATTTTAAATTTGAATTTTTGTTATTTAATTTTTGATATGTTGGAAAGTGTTTAAATCTCGTCAGTAACATAATTTTTTTGTAAAAGAGATACACATAATGTGTATTTCGGTTCGAGCAGTACACTGCGATTTTCATCAAGGGCGACCGAAACAACAGCGACGTCTTAGGATCGTGTTGGTAAATATTATCTTTGTACGCTATTCTTCTACCAAAACGTATTTATTCGTCTCCCTCCCTCAAATCGATTTCCCTCCTCAAGAGCGCCCGCCTATTTATACGCCGTGCCAGCCACACGTACACTATATCCTCAAGGATATTTGAACGGAGCGCAACATGAATTTGCTTGCGGTTGGGTCCCCGCGCCGTCAGGATTTCAGGTGACGCCCTCCTCCTCCCCGTAATTCAAGTATGGCCATCGAGTCGGTTGTTCTTCAAATTCGACTAGTTGGCTTTGGCGAATAAAAGCGAAAATTAAAAAAATAAAACATTAATGCAAATGAGCCACACGCATACACACTGGCAGGCACCGGTTTTTTATAACATTGGGAGTCTGGCGAATTACGTCAGGTTTCGATTTCATACAGTCTCTGGCTACTTCATAGCAATTATGCCGCAACACAACAAACGATTTGGACAATTCACTGTCGTCGCCACCCTTTATTAAACAAATTTATATCGTTTCTATATCACATTTGTATCATTTCCATACAGTTATTTTGAAAAAAAAAAAAAATGTTTAACTTACTTTGAGGGAAAGAACGCGACATTAAATAAGACTGTCACTAACGAACAACTAGTCAGGAATATCTTAAAGACCTATTATTGGGTTTACTATAATACTCTACTCGAGACTCACAAAAAGTATATTTTTTACATTTCTTCGATGCGATTCCCACGAGAATACTAGAAACGATATTTTGGCACTACACCTCCAAGTGTATATTTTACAACATTGTAAACAACAAGTACTAAAATCCAACCGGACAAGTTCACAGTGCCGCCCGCTGCTATAAAATTCTGTATGAGCAAAATAAATATAAAATAAGTCTTGCACGACGAATGAAAAATCACGTATGTCCTCCATCATACCGTCTCATAATTAAGATGCTTGTTAAAACAATGTTATTTCGAGGGCTCGTTACTGTTAAACGGATCTATTAAGCGCTAATGTGCTTTACCGATTTCGAGTAACAATAAAAATCTAGGTTAATGAAGAACATGACCGAAAAAAAACCATTAACTTTACGAAAAAAAAAAAAAAAATGTTTAGTATAGCAACACACACCGGTTGTTCCAACACGTCGAGTATTAATAAATGAAAATGTAAGATTGCGCACTAAAATTTATTGGTTTTAATATTTGAACAAAGAACTGCCTAATGAAAATGTTAAACGGTAGAAATAACTTGTTGTTAAAAAAAAATATGGTTAGCAAATCAATATTATTACTTAGGCGCCGGGTGGGTCTTGCGGTTTCGGTAACGTATACGCATTTAACACACACACACGTTCACAAGTTACTTTTCTTTTTGATCAAATAATTGTGAAAAAATAACAAGTGGCGACAGTTTACCCCGAAACCGGCCTCTTTGGTAATATGTACACACACAACACAACACATGCTCAGATACATTACAATGTCGTGTCAGAGATTTATCATCACACAACACGATAGACACACACACACAAGCGTTAAACGGCAGGCATATCGCGGCCAACGACTATACTGGCGACGAGAAGCCCATCCCGGCTAATTGCACGATAATTTTTTAGGAGTTTGTCTTAAAAATGAACTACTCCCGAAAGTACAAAGTGACACGACCGACGCGTAAAATCATCGTATGGTAATTCGTTCTGGCCGCAAGTTTCTAATCGAGTTTACACCTGGACAACATGTGATGTGTGCAGCTAATAATTTGCAAACATAGTTTACCATTTTATTAGGTTTTTTCGTATATTTTTGTGAATGTTAAGCACACAATGAAACACACTGTGATGGCGCCATCATTGTGTTCTCTCTATTCACAAACGACGGCGGCGGCGGCGTTGTCATCTTTGTTGTGTCGTTCTCGAATATATACAGCGCGTGTACACCTTGTTACGATAAAACGCCAACGATAATAAGTAATCTTGGTTATGTTAATAATATATTCGGAAATATTCAGACAGTGCGGGAAAATACACTTCCAAACAGAAAACAATAATGTAAATATAGTAAAAACGGAAACACAATTATCATTAATTATCAACCCTGACGTCCGGTCGACGAAAATGTTCACTGGCATTTTATAAAAGACCTATTTGACACTTGGACGTTACCGTAGGTCAGTTATTTCGGGATCGATATTTTCTCGATCAGCATCGTCGATCCCAACCAACCACCACACTGTGACGGCCGTTATTGTAACAACCCCACCGAACGCCACAGGTGATTTACAATGGGCCCGTAGTACTTGTCGTGCGTTTTATCATCCCTAAACAACTCTAAAAAAAAAAAAAAGCCGGCGTCATGTACTCCGAGAAAAATATATGACCATTATTTAACGAGACAATGATATCAAAGCACATGTCCAGCTCCGTCTATACTTTCAGAGTGTAACGGCGGCGGCGGCACGTGGGAAACTTTTTTATTTTATAGACGGCTAAGTACAAACACATGTTTACCGGCGTTTTATCCTCGTTTGGACAATATTAGTAAAGAAACACAAGCGTATCTTACACAGACAGCAAATGTCATATAATAGTCATTCAGAAATTGTTTTTTTTTTTTTGGCATATCGCCATCATTGCGTGGGTAGGAATATTTTGCACTCTTACCACAAAAAAAATAATAATAATAAAACATTAAAATATACTGTAATTATTGTAACAAGTGGCGATCAAACGTCCAAAGTGAGATGTTAATGTTTTTAATTTACGAATGATCGCAAAAAATCGGCCTAAGTTCTAATCATCCAAATTTTTCGTCAAGCATTACTCGATGTTAAAAAAATTAATAAACATAAATATTTGAAGAATGTTAACGTGTTCGACAGAGTAATGGAGAAAACGTTTAATAGTTATTGTATTATTTTTATATATTCTGAAAACGCATGTGTAAGCAAAAACAACAGCTGATTACCCGAAATTTACGGATAACTTCATCGTTGAAATCTATGCACGTGTCTTTGTATACACATAATATACGTACAAGACATAACATATGAATTTGATATAGTGACGAGGTAAAAATTAACAACTTAATGAAGAATAATCGAATATCTAACCGGGAACGGCCGATAATACAAAAATAACACTTCCGGTACAAATATCAACACTGACATCTTTATTTTCGGAATCGTTAAATGGATATGGTTATTACATAATTATAAACATTATTTTAAATCTAAATAAACCAGTTGTTCATCGACGGTGTTCTAGTGTGCGGATTGTCGCAGAACAAAAAGAAGACAAGTTTCTTTTACCCAGAAGATATGTATCTTATACAAAATCGTCAAACAACGCTGCTCATCAGCACACTTGGAAAAAAAATTTCGATTTTACGGTCAAGTCACAAAAAACGGATATTCCACATAACTAATTAAAACAACTGTTTAGAAAAATAGGAGCTTACGGTTAGATTACAAGTTCACAACTGGAGCCAACGATTTTACACGAAGCTGAGAATTCGACAAGGGTGAAAATCGGCAAGAACTATCGAATTATCATTGATGGTCCTTGTATTTAAACGAGAACATGTTACACTTTTTACATTATATTTTCAGAACGTGGGGCCCCACTTGTTGCCTTTGCTATATGTGCAGACTGCAGTAAATGTATATGTGTAGTGTAAAATAAAAAACAGCTGGCGATAACGAGACTCCGATTAATATGCTCGTCGTGCAATAACCTCAGCGTACTGACGTCGTCAATGTAGGGGAGGAGAGGTGTTAAGCGGTACAGATGAAATGTAAATTTAACAAAAAACGAAAAAACCTTAAACACGTACCCCCCACGGGTACTAAAAAAACCCGGGACGATATATAAAACGTTAACATTTGCCAAAGGAGAAATAAATAATCCATTAAGCTATATCTTTTTACCTCCCACATCCAATCGACCACAATCTTCCTGAGGTTGGCCGTGATCTCTTTCTGCACCAACGCCAAATAATCGGGTTTGGGCTGGTACTGACTTTCGGTTTTCAGCATGTTGTCGAACACCCGGTCGTCGGCCAATAGGGCCGGGTCCTTTTGCGCCACGCTCGAAGACGGCGCTTCGCAACACAGCAAGTCCATGTTCGACGGGTTCCTCACGTCGTGCGCGTGTGTCACCGACGGTTATCTGCTATTTTTTATAAAATTATTCTCACAAAGGGCACCGACGATCTCAGGAAACCGATCCAATTCGTTGCGCAAACCAAACTGGAAACGTTTTCCTCGATTCTATCACTTTGTTATCGTTAAACTCGGTTACTGATCGGGAGCAATCACTGAACGGTTGGTATGGCGGCGACGGCGTAATTAAACATCCGAACCCGGCGACGGACCAGGTCAGAATAAAAACGTGCGGTGCTGTGCGTGGTGGTGGCGGCGGCGGCCGGCGCTGAATAGTCGGTGCGACGATGTTGGGTCTCGGCCGCCACCGCCTCTAGGTCGTGCCTATGTGTGTGTGCGTACCGTACATAATATTGTACATTTCTATAAAAATCTATAGATATATATAAATTTATGTACATTTATAGACGTGTATGTGTAGTGCCGGTGCACGACACGTTCAAAGGAAGAGCACACACGTACACAGCCTCAGGTAGACGAGAGACTGTACAATATATTTATACATGTGAGTATTATTATACTAGTCGTATAAAAATTCTTCAACGTGCTGTGAGGGAAAAAACCGCGCACTGGTAAACGACAGTGGTCGGTTCTCTTCGCCACAGGATCAATAAATTCATTCGGTTAAAAAATATTTTCTATCCAACGTGGTCATTAATTAATCAAGTCGTTTCGTTTTTATAATAAACAAAATCAGTCCTTCGTTAGACGTCGGTGTCAAAGGCGTTTGGAAGTCTCACCGAAAAGTCTCAATTTAATGTCGTAAACGATATCTATACGTTTTTATCACTTAACATTGTCATTGCCTTAAAGAGTACACTCGAATTTCGTTACAGCACTAGAAGTACGCGTTGTGAATATTGAACTTAAAATTATTACATTTTTACAGCAATAGTTTTGGTATTTATTCATTGTAATAATAATAATGTTTTTTTTTTGTAACAAATATGTGTTACTCGAGATCCCAATAACTCATTTTTAATGCTTTTCGCACACACCAAGATGAGAATCTCACCGGTTCAAAAACTTGTGCTTATTACAAAATGTTTATGTTGTAAAATTAATTTTTATTCTTGTAGAGGTTCGACACATTAAATCAAAATATAGTAAATATATAAATAATTTTTTATGGTAACCAATCAAATTTAAAATTAAAAACTAAAAATCTAATTTTTGAAGTAAACACCATGGTTACTGCTTTTTTATTCAATTATAACTAAATTTATTTTAGTTATTATATTATTTATACAATATTATTCATACGATAATTATTGTAATATTAAAAGTTTAGGATTTGCTTGCTATGAAACAAAGAATGCCCAGTTTTCCAAGCACAAAAAATAGTGTCACAAAACTGATTTTTTATTGTGAATAGTCAATGGGTCGAATTGGCAGTAAATAATCCCTATCAATATTTACCACAATAAATTATTTCTTAAAAATAGTCATTTTATAATAAAAAAGAATTTAATGTTTAATCTATTATTTGTCATTTATACTTTTAAGGATGACCCAAAAGCATTAAGACTACCTACTCCACAACAATAAAAAAAAGATAATGAATGTCCACTACCTAACATCAAACCTTTTATTTTTGTATTTCCTTTCCAAAATGTCTTGATAAAGATTAGGACCTTATTTTTCTCATGATATTCCTCATTAAATATAGTTCACCGGAAAATACCTAGTACTTTGTGAAGACGTAATATATATAATAAAAAGTAAATTATATAAACTATAATTACATCACATACATTTTACATGTTAATAAAAAAAATTATACTGTCTGATGAATAGTTAATTAATTTATTCATCCCAATACACATCCTAATTCATTTAACTGAACACCTCCAATTTGTTTGGTAAAAATATAAATGTTTTTAAACAGATGAAAATATTGGTTTAATATTTAGATTAATAATTAAACTCGTAATTATAAATCTAGATTAGATATTTATTATTTATTTATGACTACATTGAATTTTATTCGTAGATAAAGGAAAGCAAGACTTAAAAAAATATGTTGAAAATCTGCATCTGACTACAGTATCATACATTTTTTATGTGTTAATTTAACTATTTCATAAAAAAAAAAATCAGCTATATCTGATTTTTACCATAAAAATCTAAGGCAGCAGATAAATTACAGTGAGTCCAGTAAAATAAATATTTGGACAACGTTTAGAGAATAAATTTGTCTTTAAAATGGCCATCATATTACAGACCTATCAATATGATCAATGCCATTAGAAAAACATTTAAACGAGTGATTATACTATACTTAAAGGTCTATAAGACAATGTGCAATTTAACAAGCAAATTATTTTTTCTTGACAATTTTTAAATATTGATTTTACTTACTGTAGTTTGAAGTTTCCTCCAGTCTACCCATATTTCTGCATACTATTTTGAAAACTTAAACATTTTAAGTCTATTGTGATAAATTCGTATAATAGATAATTTATTAATAACACTTAAATGATAGTATAGTTGATTTGTGAGGACTTAAGACTAACTAGTTAGTTTGATATATTTTGTTTTAAATTATAAATTATGATCAATTAACATTTACAATTATTAACTACAAACGTAAATAGGATATAATACAAATGAAATGACAAATTAATTTTTAAATAATGGAATTCATTATTAATAGCAATTAAAATACTGTTAGTATTAAGAATATAATTTCTTGAATCCTAGGCACACTGTAAAATAAATTATGATGATTTATTTTAATTTTTTCATTGACACTATCTAATGAGAAGAAGAATTATTTACCTGATTGTAATAATATAAATAAATATAATATATAACCATTAGAACTATTAGTAGTTGTTTTAAATACAAAGTAGCCTTTATATTTTCCTATGAATGCGATTAAGTTTTTTATATTTATATAGAGTATACAATAGTCAATACAAATAAATCTATTGTTTTTCAATGATAAGAATAACTGAATTAGAACGTTCACTTCTAATGCATTTTTTATGAAGCTACTTTTTAGTTGAATAATTTCTAAGAGTAACCATTTGGAGAATATATCATTAATAAATTAAAAAAATTATGTAATTGTTACACCTTATGCCCTCCTATCATGAAATAATTTAAATAACTAATTATAATATGAATTCTTTGAAATCAAACGTTTAACATACTATTAAGGTAATTATTTAAATATATGTAATATATATATATATTACATTAAACCAGGACCCATGTTCATCATAATTATCATATAATTATGTACACAATAATTCAACAATTATGCATCTACTCAACAACAAAGATATGCCCGTATCATACATTGTACTATTTAAGTAAAAGTCAAAATGATTATAGAGTAATTAATAAAATATTTATGTTTTTTTTCATTAAATTATTATGATTTTTTATTGCCAAAACTTAAGTGCCTATATAACGTATATTTTTATTGGTATAATTTATATAATAAATGGAATGTCGAATTATTATGTTGGATATTTCGATGTATCAGGTAATCAACTCGTTTCATATTAAAACTGAGATATTTTAAAATATGTTCGTTCTTAACCTATCTTCTCTATTCACTCTACTCATCCATCTAAACATTTTAATCTCCGCTATACTCATTCTTTGCTCTATTCTCTTGTCAACCGCCCAATACTTTTGAACCATACATCAGAGCTGCTATCACTAGTCTTAAAGAGCTTACTAGTCAGTTTCATTGGAATTCTCTTGTGAATAAAAAGCCAAACGCTTCTCTCCACTTCACCCACCCATTATTAAAAATGTGTTTTCAACCTCGCCCCTTAACAATTCTCCTTTCTGCCCCAAACATGACGATGAAGTTCTCTGCGACTTTCCTCATATAATTTTTGACTACTGTGCATTTGAAAGTAATCGTTCTAATTTATTTAATAATTTATCTCATCTTAATATCTCTCCTATTAATTGTTACACTATTCTTAACTCAACTTCTTTCGATGTATTTTCTTTAGTTATTTCTTTCATTCATTCAGCTGGATTTTTTATTTAACGATTTTTACTGTAATTTTGTTGATGTAAGATCAATTGTACTATTTTTTTTATTATTATTATTTATTTTTTCTTTTCTCAGTTTATTTAATCGTTAAGCTATAATAATACTTTGTACTGAAAGCTAATAAAAAAAAAAAAAAAAACCTCGTCAATTCTAATGTTTATTTGGACAACTGATTTAAGTTAATTTAAAAATAATGATAACATTTTAGGTAGTTATCTTAAGTTGATTTTTCAGAATATGTTTATTTACATTAATTGTAACTTTTTAGCTATTTGATGTTTATATTATATTGTTATTAATTTTTGTTACTTTTGTGATATACTCCAAACTTAATTAAATAATTAAAAGCATCTAATTAAAAATACGAAATTAAGAATTTTAAAAAAGTTATTTTAATAAAATCTGTTTTTTTATTAAGTATCTAAAGCAATCCATTTTTTGTAAACCTATAATTTATTTAAGGATTTATTATTATTTAAATTATTGCATTTAAATCGTAATTTATATTTACTGTTTATCACTCGTTAATTTTTTTTCGGCATTTCATTACTATCAAGTGGAAATTGCACACGAGTATTATAAATTTTCAAAGAGGTTCTATTGTATACTGTTTAATAGCGCGTTAAAACGTGATAGATACAACTGATTATTTAGACAAATTTTTACATGATAAAATGGCGATTTTGTTTTTTTTTGTTAATATAGTTTTCTACTTTAAATGACTCTGAGAATATATAATCAACTTAACTAAACCATACTAAAAAATGCATTTTTCAGGAAAGTTATTTTAAAAATTAAAAGTATGTTACAAAATATTATATAATATATACACATATATATTATATAAAATAACATTTAATTTGCCCTTGAATAGCTTACATTGCGTTCTGGCCATCAAGAATTTTTTAAAAATACTGCTCTTTTAGAGCATTCTGTTTACAGTTAAAATTTAACGACTTCATATATTTTAAATAAAATGACAGTATTTTTTAAGTTATATCGGCATATAAATGAATGAACAATACATTTAAAATATACAAAGTGTTCCATAAGTAAGAAACAGGTCAGTTATTACAAACAATGAGAACAATAGATATCAGTTTCCTTATTTAACACTATATACTTTAATCGCAACATGAAGGTTAACGAATTCAAGTAATTTTTCGTAAAGATATTAGAAAAAATTGCATAAATATAATATATTTAAACAAATAGTGCGCATCATAACTGTACTAAAATAATAATGTACCGTGTTTTTACAGAACTTAAATAGTCAAACCAAATAAAAGTATTAGCATTTCATCATTTTGTATATCTTTTATTGATAGTTTATCTTAAAAAGTAATTTAATATAATATGTGTTAACAAGTAATTAATATTAATCTGGCATAAATAAATCTAATTTTACTGGTTATGAGAGTTTATTATTCAACAATAAAAGTTTTTTTATATGATAAATTACTACATTTGTTAAAGATGGCTTACATTGAACCAGATAAACCACAAAATATTTGCTTTTTACAATGGAATATTGCTAAAGAGGTGATTGATGATAATATTACTGTGAGTAATGCAAACTAATTGAAATATTTGATAACATTAACAAAATTGTATAACAATTATTTTAAAAACTTTTTATTTAAATTTAAGATAAATTAATTTTAAGATATTTAAAAAAGTAATTTTACGTTTTATTTTAAAATATTTCATTACATATTAAAGAACAATTGTATCTTAATTAGCTCGATTATGAAAGTGACTCTGATTCAAAAGACAATGTGAGATCCGATAGTCGTCTAGCCTTTGTAGACAAAATATTTCCACCCAGAGAGTGGATGGTAAAAAATGAACTTGGCGAGAAAAAATGGAGGCAGACTATATCAAAAAAATTGCCAACTAGAGTTGACATAGCTAATACAAATACAATGATTAAAGTGTACGAAGAATTCTACGGTGTTCGAAAAAAAGGAATATGCGATTTAAGAAGCGCCTTGTATGTTTCCTATTTTGGTAATGTAAAAATTATATTTTTATCAACTTTTATAAAACCTATTTTAACTATTTTTAGATGAAGCTTTGAGACATATTGCTTTAATCGATGAAACGTTGGGAGAACTTTTGTATATTATCCGAGAAGACCTCAGAAATACTGTAATCACTTACCAAATATTGCATGATAAAACTTTGTCTTACAAGGGAATGTACATAGAACAATCGGTAAATTAGAAATATATTAACAATGAATAAGAAAACATTCTATTACATAGGCAAACATTTAATCAATTTTTTAGGGATGCTAGAATAATCTATTAAAGTAAAACTACTGGAGGGGCTAAAATATGATAACAATACAAAAAATCTTCAATGAGTGGGGCTAGGTATTTAAGTTAGGTAGAATGGAGCTAGGGATACATTTTGTGCTATTGACTTTAGTTATTGTAAATACTAAAACTTGACGGGTTTTAAACTTATTTTTTATTGCATTGGTCGAGATGTTTTTTTACTATATAGTTGTATGAGCAAGAAATGGTACAAGAGATTGAAAGATTGACTAAAGTTAATGACGAATATGAGTTAAAAATTGAAAAAATGAAAGCAGAACTAAAAAAATTTCGCGAGAATACTCAAGTGCGTAATGCTCATACTTTGGAAAAGCATCAAGTATCTGTAAAAGCGTTAACACGATCTGTAAATCAATTGACAGTAAGTTGAAATTAGTGCTTTCAATTTAGTTACTATAAAATTGGTATTTTTTAAAGGACCAGTTGAACACTTTGATGCCTTTACTTAAAGTCGGAGAAAAACCGGATACGACCAATTCCTAATATGAAAACTTAAGTCAACAAACGCCAGTCGTTCATTTAGTTCAATAAGAAGTTTAACACAATACAATTATGGCGATTTTCATAGGTTTTCCTATTTGATATATAGATTTTGCTATGTCCTTTAAACGACAATGATGTGCACTTTTTTTATTTTTTTTTCGTAAAAGAGATAATTTAACAGGGAGAGAAAATAAAACAAAAACTAAAAAATGTATAAAGCATCAGCAATGCTTTACAATGATCATACTTTTGTTTAACTCCGATCTATTTGTGTTTTATAAATCAAACAGTGAATCTAGTTTCCTCATTTTACATTTTACAAGAATGAAAAATTTAACTGCTTAAACATTGTTTAAAATAATATTAAATATAATATAGTTGTAAATATAATGAATTATTTAATTGTGATAAGTTATCCAGTTGTACAAATACATGATGAATCAACAAGTTTTTTATTGTATAACTCTTTCATGATTATTCAGCTATAAATAATGAACGAGGAAAACAATATATTTGGGATATTTGTTTTTAAACAAATAAATAACTACTATTTATCTTAATTAAATTGTGGACATTTGGGTCAGTTTTGTTTTGTTCTTAGAAAATTCAATATTTTTTTGAGAAATCTAAAAAATAAAATAATAATGATGCCGCGTTAAGATAATCATTTCACGATACACACAGAATGCTGTGCGGCCTGTAATTTTCCTTAAACATTAGCCACATAACGCGTTGATATAAAGTAACAATAACGATGTGTTTGTGTTTACTACATACTTATTATACATGAATTATCGTTGACTGGTATGCGCCAAGTTGAAAGGGTAACTAGTAACAGAAACTGATTATTAAAGATTAGTGTTTTTTATCAACAATAACGAACAGTGGCGTGCGCCATGTTTATTCTACTAAAATATCTGAGAGAAAACGGTGTGTATTCATGTCATCATGATTTATTTGGAATGAAAGAAATTCTCAATACAATACAGACAAATATCATTGCTAGGTAATCAAAAGTTCACACGTTGAGACTGGGTGTTTTAAACGATTAATTTGTTTATATGATATTAAATATATAAACATACACATTATAAGATATTAAAACATATAATTATAGTTTTGGTCGTGTAATGTAGACTTTAAATAAGTATTAAAAATTGATATGCTATGGTAGATAAATATAGTCATAAATAATATAATAAAGGATACCGCATAGGGTTTAAAGAATGCATACAAATGAATGAGTATTTAATAAGAACTCAACACTGCATTAATATTGACGGTCGTTTTAGTTGCATTGTTATAGTTTGTAAGGTGTGATATTCTTGAATCCAATTAAATATTAATATGATTTTTGTCTTGGGGCAATCGAAATTATAAACATTAGAAATTTTAGCAATTTAAGTAAGACTAAAGAGAACACTGAAGAGTAATGACAATAGACGACGACGTGATAGGTGGAGGTGGAAAGTTTTAAATATTTGGGATAATTTTCATAAAAGAATTGTGGTATTGACGAGGCTTTAAGACATAGTATTAAGTGCGGGTGGATGAAACTGAGAGAAGCGCCTAGTGTGTTAATTGAAAGCTGCAAAAACGAAAAGGTAGAAGAAGACCGAAAAAGAAGTGTTTGGATGTAATTGAGGATATGAGAAACACACACACATTGCTGGTGTGTGTATATAGATAATATGGGAGATCGAGTTTAGTGAGGATACCAGTAGCCAACCTCAAGTAGTCGTGATAAAGGGGAGGGAGATGAAGATAATGGCGTATCTACATAAATGGCTATCTGGAGTAGTTGCGCTAGAGTTTCACAATAAGAGTACCGCTAAAATTATGAGGGTATATTGACCAAACACATTTTACAAAAATATTTTACTTGAGTTGAAATAAAATCAGGTAGATATATTTAAAAATGTTATACGCATAGTTCCATAATACTTCAAAGAACTATAGAAAACAATAACATTTTACTGTTTATTTATAAGTTATCTTTATTTTTTTATATCGCCGAAAAAAATTATTCTGGGAAGTCAATTAACTATTAAGATAATATTCAAAAAACTGTATGTTATATCATTAAATATTTTTATTTCAAATTCGTTGCAAAATTTAGTCATTTTTACATGTAAAATATGTAGGTTAAGTTATATTAGTGTTGTTAATAAACTCTTTTTGTGTAAATATTGGTGTTCAAAAGACAGTTGTATTTTGCACATATAATAATAACTAAACAATAATATGTTTTGCAAATATTGATGTATTTAATCAAATTTAGTATAGTTACGATAACTCTCACTAAAACCCAGGGTTAAAAGAATCACGGGCTATCTATTTCATCTAAATATTACTTTAATTTTGTATTTTATAAGACAAAAATAATAATTTGTTTCAAATTAGTTAAGCACGTATTGTCTGAACTATAGACACAGAGAGAAGTTGTGTTTTCAAAATGAATACGTCAAGCAATACTTGAAATAATTATAATTAACGTGATCGGAGTTCAATTTTATAATTTCTACCAAATAATCTCGAATTTTTTTGTTTGATTTCAGTGAATCACAATGATTTTTATTAGAGTTTAGTCGATACAAATTATTGAAGAACACAATGGTTGTAATTAATGAGAGAGAAAGAGTAGTCTTTTTATCATTTGTCACATTAATATAAGCTTTGAGAGTTTTTACATGCTATTGAAACTGATCAAAACAATATCAGCAACTTTAATATAAATTGCAGTAGTTTTAAATATTACATCGATGTCATAGATGTCGAAAATCATCATAGGTGCAACTAGGCCAACATTTCAGGAAAGTTCAAGTATTTATAAATATCACATAATATGTTTTTATACATAAAAAAAAATAATTAGAATTATTATGAAACAATCGTTTTATCAATAAGGTGTAAATACGCGGGGTAATTTATTTTGTTTAAATTATAAGAGTATTGTAGTGTTAATTTTCACTACATGGAAATGTCAATTTGTAATTACTTTTATCATACAGTTACCATTCAGATACATGTGCGATTAAATTAAATATATCAAATTAAATCTTTCATCTTCCGTTAAGCCGTTCGTTTATAATTATTTAGTTCCAGTGTATAATAGAATAGCCACTAGAGTTTTTAAAATCATAATAACTGAATTAATTTTATTATTTCTGAAATTCATAAAATAATTTATTCATAGTTATATAATATAATAGAACGACTTCTACTACATGCCACATCACTACAACAAGTGTATACACTATTTTTAACTCTTAACAAATCAATGAACTCATTTAGTGACAGAGACATTAGGTATGTTTGATAATGAGTGCAATTAAAAGATAGATATGCTTTTCTTTAATTTTAAAAATTATAATTTTGCCCTACGCTAGAATGTATTGCATTTGGTCAACATGGAAATATTTAAATGTGGACATTTATTTAATACGAAATTATAACAGAAATAAGATGAAACTAAACTGGTTTAAAGAAACAGCAGTTGATAAAAGTCGCTCTTTAAAAGTACTATAATTTTTAAAATGTTTATGGGTTATATAATCAATAATTACCGTTCTATCAATATACTTTTTTTGAAAATCCGATACAAGAATTTGTATGATGAGAATTTGAGCACAAAAAAAGAAATTCTATCTAACATTTTTTTTTTATCTAAAAAATTGACAGTCAATCATGCGTTCTTTTAATATACATCTAATTAAAGCTTTTTAAATGTATATTATGATAAAATGATCATATCTGTCTCTACTATAACCCTACCAAACTGTACTGGGATTTTTTTGAAATACCTATGTACAAGTTCTTAGTATAGAGCCTAGAAACATTTTAAATTTAAATTCCAAACAATTTTGAGTTCTTTATAATGTTATTTTAGGCAATGTTAAAAGAAAAACACTATAAAAGGTAAAATGTTTATTGTTTACAAAAATAAAACATCTTACTAATGGATATAATGTCCCTAATGTCAGTCCGCCGTTTTTGAGTATGAATGATTTCACCTTGATAGGTAATTTTATCAATTCCCCATTATAAAATTTTGATTACTATCTTTTTTCCATAAAATGTATTATAAGACTAGTTAACTGCCAAAAATTAATACTACTAGAGCACCAGTTTTAATTAAAAAATATAATACAGTATTATATTTTTAGGTCGATTTTATGATGACTTGAGAAGTATAAAAATTATTATCAATTAAGTATTAATTGATAATTACATAATTTCCTAAAATTGATTTTCTAAGTTTAAATTATTTAATGGAAATAATCAAGAAAACGGTAATATCACAGCTGATATTTAGTACAGTTTGTTTGTGTAGATTAAATGATAATTTTCCCTTTGGAAATGCAGTTAATTAAATTATTGGATTATTGATCGATTTAACTAGGAGGTTTAATATAGGGCATGAAAAGTATTTTGAAAAACAACCTTCACCTTAAATGTAGAGTGAAACCTTGTAATCGTGACCTAAACATTTTTCACTTTCTGATACTATGAGCTTACAACAAGACAAATAACAATTTATCAACAAATCATTTTATCTATTTAATATATTTGAGTTGCAACGAACCAATATGATAAAAATGACTAATTCTCGAATATTTAACGACTATTTCAAATTATTTGTAGTCCATAAGTTCATAAGTCCATTATATTTTTATTATTTATGTACACTCAGAATTTCAGAAACAAATGTACGTAAAATGAAATTAAACCATTGTCTACGGAACGATCAAAGAGTAGTATAATTATAATTTAGTATTAATAGATTGGAATACGGAATAATATATTTAAGTAATATACTTAATCAAACTTTTGTTTTGTTTTTTAAGTTCATTTGATGTGTTTTACGTGATTGTACAAGTATAAAAATATATAGAAGGCGATTATTTAATTACACTTGAGAAATGATTAAAATATTACTTTTTAAAAATTGAAATTATAAAAGTACAATGGCTGTTAGGAATACTACTTGCTAATCACGCGAGTTTAAGAACGTGGTCGGAACGCATGATAAATAATTGAATCGCTCTGTATATCAATGACTAACAGCGTTATCATGAAATTGTTATCGGTTGGAGTAGTGTCAACTGCCCGAGTTATGGTAGTGCATATGTGAATGCGGTTATCGTACCATGTGCCTAATCAGTGCGCGGCAGCTGGTTGCGTCGTGCGATTCACGGTAGTACGTCTGGGACCGTGTCCGTTAGCAAACCGCCTTTAAGTATTGTCTGTGAATAATTTAAATATTTGTTTATATTTCATCTAATTGTTTATACATTTAGTATAGGCCGTCGATCAAATATGGTTTTATGCATGGGTAAGGCTATTACATATGTACATTAATGATAAATCTTCAAAATTTTTATTAATTTACGAGTATTATGATTGTTATACATATTGAGTGTTTTGTTACAATTGATAAAAAATTGTGATGCCCATAATTGCACTCGAGTTAAAAAATAACGTATATATAGTAGTATAGAAGTATAATCCTCCGTTAAAGAGAAAGTATGTTTATTACTAAATAACAATTACGTAGAAACTGAGAAGTCGTGGCAAATGTAAATAACTATCAGATTTACAATTCTGTTTTTTTTCGCTTAAATTATAGACAAATAACTTGTTCCGTTTCTTTTACAGTTTAACACAATAAAATTATTTAAACGTTTTGTACAAAAATATGTCTGTTATATATTGTTGTGTACATTGTTTGAACTAATATTATAGTTAATTGTCGATTAATGATTAATTCAGCTAAACATTGTTAAGTTATAACAATTCTAATAACTAGTTGAACCAAGGTGCTTAAAATAAATAAGCCTACTTCAAGATGTAGTTGTTTTTTAAACATCAATTACAATTTTTTTTTAAATGTAACGATTTTGTCAACATTTACATTTTAATTGCAATTTGAAATATTACTTTATTATGATATTTTTGAGTTGGATAATGTTTTTAATTCAATATAAAATATTAATGATTTTAAATTACAGTTTAATTCTCCTATGTAGTCAATATAATACAAAGATTGTTTTTTAAATTAAATGGTGTATGATTAAAGTAGTTAAAATTCAGTATCAATGGATTTCTACCTCTTGATACAGCTGTTCTAAAATGATATCTGAGTAGATACTAGTTTAATTCTCGAAAAATATTGCCAACATTATTATTATTATTGTTACAATAGAAAGCACCCGCATATATTTTGTATCATATGTATTATATTTTGAAACTTCCTTAACAATTAAGTCCCTTACAATTTTCAATTATCTTTGGGTAATTTATCATTCAGTTTTTATTGTTGTTAAGTGTATGAAATTTTTTCGACGGTGTTATTGAGCGTGTAAATAATAATATTTATTTTTTATTTTACGAGTTAATGGACATTACATAATTAAGGTAAATATTTATCATATTTGAGGTAAATTATAGTCATTATTTAAACATGTGATAGTTTTTTAATGAGAATAAAAAATACAGAATACCTAATATTGTGTTACCTTCTTATTACGAAAATATTTTATCTAGTTCTATGAGTTTGGTTGGGATTAGAAACTCCCAAAATCTGCTTTAAATTTAATAAAATTACAATTTTCAGATTTTTTTCTAGGCTTACACTATAGGACCTACCTTTGTGCTAAATTAAATGTTTCTTCCTTAAACGAAAAGGGTTTTATAATTTCGATGATGAGTGTGGAGTCAGTAACAAAACTGGAAATTTAGAAAGGCTTTTACTTTGAAAAAACTAAACATTAAAGGCTCATTTTTTTACAGTATTCTAAGCGCTAAAACTTAATCTATATTTAAAATTTTTAGAATCTATGTTTAAGTAGAAACAGATAGGTAGGGTTGAAAAACTGGGTGTTTCGTGGAAAAAACACTTTCATTGTTAGAACTTAGTCGGGCGCGTTGCCGTGCCGCTCAATTCTTAGTATGATTATATTTTTATTTCAAATTTAAATTGATATTTTATTTACATAATTATTTTTAAGTTGCATTTTTGCAGAGATTTATAAATTTTAAAGATTAGAAATTAAATAGGATCGAATTAAGAACCCTGTAGGTCTTGGGCAGTATTATAAGATAGGCCCCTCATCTCAAGAAATATAGTTTCCATGACAAAGTTATGAGCATAAAAAAAAATAATAGTATTCATTTTCATTAGAAATATATCTTAGCAGGTTATTAAAATTAAAATTTAGCCTTGGGTGCCCGCGCGCCTTAAACTGTAGATAATAATTTTTTTATCATTGAAAAAAATAAATTATAATTTTAGTCGACTTTTCATTTATAAATTATTTATATTTAATAATAATTGAAGTAATATTTTATACGAAAATTAAATAAAGAGATATACCTAGTAGTTTTTCTGATCTCGTAATTTAACAAATATAATATTATATAACTGTAGGACGATGTCACCGTTTATCATACCACTTATGGCTATCATTAATATTTTTTTCAATCATTGCAAAAAATAACAAAATATATCATAGTTTGACAGTTAGTTATTCATGAAAAAATTTCACCATTTACTTACCATAGAAGGACATATTTTTGGTCGTAAGTGTGGTAGAGAGTACCTTCACCCTAAGTAGAAATTTGATCTAAATGTAACAAGTGTATATATTGACAACCGAAATTCAAGTACATCTTTGTTTATTTAACCATTTTTATTCATTTACAGGTTGTTGTAGCAAACGAGATTATACACTTTTGGATGGAATGTCTTCTTATCAACCTTCTAGTAACACAGATTTTACTGAAACTATAGCAGTCAAATGCGGATATTCTTATAATTTTACAAAAACTGTAATATTTCACATCGTAGCAGTATGTTTGCTTGGTATACCTTACTTGGCTATTCACTGGTCGAGTAATTTGAAGTTATTACTTCTCATGTCTAAATGTCCATTATCGACGGCCGATTGCATTCTCGTTAACGTTAGTATAAAATAAAATAATTTTAAATTAGTATAATTTATTTATTAACTTGAGAAACCATGAAAAATGTATTATCAGATATTATAAATTTATATGAAAACATCAGAATGTATAAATAGCGAAAATAAATGAAGTATCACTTAATAAAAGTATAATGTTGAGTAATATAATTTAATTCTGATATTTTATGATTTATAAATTAACAAATATCAAAACTATTCAAGGGATTACCTTAAAAGTTATTTGTTGTGACATAAGAACCGATAAAATGTATAACTAGTTATTATTGGGAAATCGCTATTAGTTTAAAGCTTTACACTCTAAACGTACACAGAAAAATGTTGCTTATTTTTGTCACACCAAAGTCATTGAATATAATATCATTCAAGCTATATTTTTTAAGCTTCTGGATTAAATATTTTTGTAATAATTTACATCGAGCTGTAAATAAATTTACCTATTTTTTAATCTATTCGCTTGTTTAAATAACTATAAGTAGGGATATAAAAATTTAGAATTAGATTATTAGTTTAGCAAGTGATCAAATTTTTTTGTCTCAATTTTTTTACTTATTAATTTTATTAATATCAGAAAATTTTTAGTTATCTAATAGCGCAATCTGCATGGTATAGAGGGAACTTAGTTCCCCCAAAATTTATGAAAGTTATATGTAAATTTGATTAGAAATATTTTTAAAAAGGGAAAATTAAGTTAGATTTCCCGAAAATGTTTTTCAAATTGCTCATAATAATCTTATAATATAATATATTATAAGAAAAATGACTCGTATAATAGATTATCAAATTAAATTATTTTCTTTTATTATGTACCATAAATTATAGATATTTATTACATTATTTAACAAAATTAAATATCTTATAATTTTTAAAAGTATTTCAGTGAAATGTTTACATTTCATGTAATAAAAAAATTTATTTGTCTAAAAAATGAAAAAATTATGATATTAATTCTTCTTAAAAGAAAAACTTAAATTATTAATTAAGTTATTAAAGCGAAATCATTAAATATATAGTAAAGAAAAAGTACTTACATTAAGAATTATGTTAAAGCGATGACCGATGATACTATAGTAAAGAATTATTTAGTTATCATTTTACCTTGAATAGATGTTTAAACATCAGTTTGTTATTATTTTTACATTATATGTAATTATTATTATTTTTTTTTTTTGGACATCAATAAAGGATCATTATTCTTGTTTAATCCGTTTTGTTTCCTTTTTTTGAAAACATTTGTATTTATTTCAAAGACATTCGTTGAAATTGAAATGAGTACCCGCCATTAATGGTTAAAAAAAGATCTATACTTATAAACCTCTTGTAAGTAGTTCTAAAAATCCATTCATTTAAAACTCTGCCGTTGCTACCTGTATAATATGATCATGAAAAGCAGCAACCTGAATAATTAAATAATTGTTGTTCAGTGTAAGTTAATATTGATGACTCTATGTTTATTAAAATGTCCTGAGTATCAGATCAATTTTATCAGTAATTTTTTTTTTATTTGACGTTGTTGATAGAAATGCTATTGTAAAAATAAAATTTTATATTTATTATATATACATACAAAGTAATCGGTTTATCATAAACCATTCGATTAGTCTTAAAATAAATACAATATTAAAAAAAATTGTTGGGTTTTTGAGTTATATATATATATTTTTTTATTTATTAGCTATAAATTAATTTTAAGGATCATTCCTTATAATTTATAGGGTTTTGAACTTTATTTTTTTAAATCGTAACACAACATATATATAAAATAGAAAATTTTAGATAATGATTGGTCGATAACAATTTTCGGACCAGTACTTAAGATGTTATTCTCATTTTTATTCATAGGCAAGACTAAGAGATGATGGAAAATTAGTAGTGATAAAAATAACAGCACCCACTCCCCACCTCCATAAATTACTTCAAAGTGTTGATAACTTCTGAAATACTGGTCTAAAAGTTGTTATCGTCCAGTAATTTTTTTAATTTGATTATTTCCTGTTTTATAAGCTAGTTTTATATGTATGTTACCATTTAATATAATAAAGTTGACATCCCTTTAAGTTATTAAAGATAATTCTAGAAAGTAATTATTAGGTGATAATTCAAGAATTATATAAAATTATTAAAAGAAATCAAAAATAATTTATCCAATATTGTATTAATTTTGTGAATAATTGAGTGGTTTATGATAAACCGATTATCCTGCGTATGGTGTGTATATATAATAAAATAAAACAAATCTAATTAAAACAATAACTGGTTGACAACAAATTTTGTACCAGTATATCAAAAGTTTTTAATACTTAAGTGGGAGGATGGATGCGGCCGAAAAATATCTAGTGATAAATATTTTATAATGGTAGCAACTTCCTAATTAATGGATCAAAAGTTATATTCATAATTAGATGATTTATTATTTTATAAGTTAGTTAAAAACGCATGTTATCTTTTTCTTCTTTTCTCCCTCCCCTTTATCACAACTACTTGAGGTCGGATACAGTATTTAAAACTTCCACTTGACACGATCTCCCACATCATCTATCACACACCAATAATATTTATATCATCAATTACATCCAACCACCACTTTTTCGGTCATTATTTTTCACTTCTTCAACGTCCATTCCCATAATTGGATCTTACAGCTTCCAATTTTTATCTCCTCATCTATTTAAGCCTATTATTTCTCATTTTATTTACGATTGACGTTACTCATATGCATGTTGCTATTTGAAAAAATGAAACTGAAATTCTTATAAGGTATGAATATAAAAAATACTATAAATAATATAATTGAGACATTGTGAAAACATGTACATATAAGAAACCAAAAAAGAAAAAAAGCCTCTATATCTTTATTATTTTTTTAATTTGTAAAGTGTCCATCATTAAGAATAAAATAATTGTAATATAAATGTATGTTTATTTAAATATTCTCAATTCTATCATTGGTTAACGTACATTGAATGGTTGTCACAAGTCTGGAATATTTGAGTATTTTTAAATGGCCAGGGAAATCTAATTGGGGTAGAAAAATGTATTTCCAAAACTTGAATTGGTTAACAGTTAACAATAAAAATAATCAAACGCTTCTCACATAAATAACGTAGGTTTACCTACTCCCTTAAGCTATTTTATTTTTGTATTAAATTTTTTGAAAAATCAAGGAAAAGTTAGCGAGTTTGAAAACTTTAAATTTGTGACAACCAGGCTACATATTATAATATAATGAATGTAACCTGCATTTATCAATTATAAATTTATTTAGAATATAAATTAAATAAAACTTATACATTGTGTCCAAGTTTAGACATTAATATTATTTTTTTAAATAAGTTCTCACTATTTGTAAAATCCACATTATATATTTGTGGAACATGGTAATTTTAAGGATCGATTTACTATAAAACATCTGTCAAGGATTTTGTGGGAAAAAAATCGGGATTTGTTGTACCTTTTTAATGTGTGTTATTTGTCCGACCATGGAAGTTATAATACAACACCACATTTCTTTGTAATATCTTAATAAAATTTATCGAAAGAAAATAACACGTAGAATAGTTGAAATGATATAATAACATATCAGTGGTGTACTCATAAAGGCGCAAACGGGCTCTATCATGGGGCTATAACATTGGCTAATTATTACAATTAATGGTATATGACTTTGGTGCTAGTAAAAATAGTTAAAATTGATCATTAACTTTATATATTTTAATTATTTAACACACATATATACATGTATATATGTGTATATAAAACAGTGTCACTTATTAAGTATACTTGCTCCAATTTGTTCGTTAAAAAAAGGATTTTTTCATAAAAATGTATAGATTATTATATTTAATTATTTTTATAAATCATAATAACAATTTTCCTAATGGTGGATTTTTAATATAACTTTCGAAAGTTAAATGAAAAGTAACAAAAGGTTCTCCATTTATTATTTTTTTACTATTAAATAGAAAATGATTTACATTAAATTATGACAGATCGATGACTAATAATGTAACATTGCTTTTTGAGTTGTTATAATTTTTAGTTTTTGGCGATCAGGTTTTTGGTGCCCAACATAAAAATTCTTATCTGTTCGTTATGGTAAAATAGAGCGTCGCTAAATAAGACCTTCATCCTTGTATTTTCTAAATCTTCAAATACTAATAATACAAAACTGGTTATAGTCTAATCAACATTTTCTATTATTTTGTAAAAAAAATAATTAAAGGTTCCTATTTAACTTTCGAATGTTACCCTCAAATTCCACTTATAGGAATATATTATAATAGTTTATAAAAATAAATTTAATTTTAATCTATACAATTTTATGAACAAATTTAAGGTATACTTAATAAATCACACTGTGTGTATATATATATTATGCACTCATACTTATTATATAGGGTAAAATAATAATTAATAAGTTTGGCATTTAGATGTTCTATACAATTTTATTTTACAATATATTTGTTTTTGTTTACTACTCAAAACAATAATACATGATTTATAAAGAAATACTTATACAATAATAATTGCGTAACTTATTTTTAAAGGACATGAATAATTATAATAACATTTATGAAATAAAAACATCGGTAATTAAATGTATGAAAGGGGAACAAAAAGTTGTTAAACATTTTGAACATCAATTATTGAAATATATTTGGGATGATCGAGAAAACGTATTTAAATTGCTTCAAGGACTAGACAATGGTACGACTACACTTTCTAAACTTTTGGACAAATCTCATGGTCTAACTACAGAAGAGCACGAAAGTCAGTATGTATATATATATATATTTAATTAGAATAAAAGTTCAACCTTTTTTTTTTTTCAACGGTTTTACCATGAGGTATTGCTTCAGGACGCCAAACGTCACATTAAAACTACACCGCCGTGTTGTGACTCAGCCCGAAATTAATCAAGAGCTGAGTCACAATACGGCGTGGTCTCCCCCGTTAGCCGGATTCCGAGTGGGATCCGTTGCTCAGGTCGCACCATGTGGAGGCGGAATTTCGTTATGTTGGCCAAACGACGTCCTCTTCCACCATCCATTCCTCCACGTCCAACAGCATGAATGCTACGGACATCGTTGGGCGGTGTATGCGGACATCCATGCCGTCCATCGCCTCCCTGATCTTGCAGGCCAACAGGTCCGCCTGATTCTGGGGCAGGCTCCTCAGTCGCATCAGATCTCTTCCTCTTTCTCCGCCTCTTCCTTACCCGTTTAACAACCTTTGCGGTGGCCCACTCATGTCAGTTATCGCTGTCCCAACGCAACCTGCGGCTGCAAGAGTGGGATTACTCTTATGCCGAGATCTCGCTGAAGGCAAGTCTAGCGGCATTCGCGAAACGGTTGGCCGCATTGTCGCTTCCTCCCCTCAGCGCAGAGACGCAACGAGACATCAGATTAACCGTTTCTGCCTCCTCCACTACTTCCTCGAAGGGATCGTAGGCATTAACCCGTTCAGGACTAAACCAATACCCGCGACGAAGTCCTCCCGCATCATTCGTAGAATGGAGTCTACCGCAGTACGTAAGTCCCCGGATGACTGGAAACCCCCGTGTGGCAAGAACCTCAGACTCTCGTCTTCCAGGCGTGACTGGATGTCAACCCATCACTCGAATTCAGAGCGGGACAAAGGTATCTCGTTGATAAAACGAGCCCTTATGCCCGACTACTCCTCGATCAAATTTCGGCTGATGCTTCCGCATCCGGCAGTAACCTCGGTGGCCCTAAGGGGGTACCAGAGGATGCCTACTCCGCAAATCCTCCAGCTGTAGCTTGGGCGTAAGCGCCCCCTGGACCCTGCCTCAACATTTTAACGGTTTCAATGCAATCGCTGGATAACTATCGGGTCGAGCCTGCAACTACACTCTTTCCAGTCGGTCCTGGTGTCTCCGAAACTCCTGGAACCGTAACTGTATTTTTGTTATGGTGTCCTTCCATGTTCAGTTTTACGGGTGTCCTTCCCTGCGATTTACCTGCTGCCAGAGAATTTGTTTTCGTTGTTGCCTTCACCTAGGTGTTCGTTTTACCGAGCTACCGGGCACACCTGCCTGTTGAAAAATTACTCACGAACGCTACCACTTATTCGTCTACTTTAGAAATGGCTTATCTCATGGCTACCCTGCATATCTGCTGGGTTAACGAACTAACGTCAGTCCAAATGAATGAACTGCTTATTTTACGGCTAACTTGCATATCTGCAGACCGTTCCTCTATCTGCAACCTGAGGACGCGCCCGATTCGCCGAGCTAGGAAAACTGCGCTCGTGCCGACGTTTCGTAGCCCCGTAATCACACTGAAACTGTAGCGCAACGAAACGGTATAAAAGTTCAACCCTAAATGTAGCAAAAATGTTTTTTTGGTATAGTGTAGCAATAGCGTATAGTTTATACGAGTGTTTTGTTGTCTATAACATATTTAAAATCTCCCAGTTTGGTCAGTTTTCCAATGTCCCAAGTTCCCAAACGATGTCTTGTTTCCGAGTCCAGTCTATTGAATTTATCTATCCAAGGCCTATTCCGAGGCACATTTAAAGGTTTCTTCACTAGTGTTTTTTTTTCGAGGACGGATCGTTAGCCCGACTCTCAACCCCATTCTGGAGGGCCAATCCACACCAACTAATTAAAGTCAATGAAGAGTTACTGCATTATATTTGGCGATGAGATTGCCATTTTTCTGACGTCCCTAGAGTCTGCGGGTTTGTCACATTTGTTACCGGTTAACGCATTCTATTCGGGAATAAAATATTTTATAATCTTCATAATATGAAGACATTATGATATAATATATCGTCGCTGCAGGATCAAAAAAGGAACATAAATTAATCCAATCAAATTAAAATTGTATTTTTTTAATAAATACTATAAATTTCTTTACGCGTAATTGAGCTTTATGACGAAAAACTTTTAAAATTTTAACTTAAATTGTTATTTAGGTACCTTAGAGTTCAATCATTTTATTACTAAATTTTATAAAAAACTAAATTATGTTAGTTAATTAATCAGTTTGCCAATTTCATTTAGAAAACTGTTATTCAATTTATATTATGATAATTGATTTGTATAATTCATTATTGTTTAGATTAGAATTATTTGGCAAAAATGAAATTGTCATTGAAGTACCATCATATTGGAAGCTTTTCATTGTGGAAGTATTAAATCCTTTTTACGTTTTTCAAATATTCAGTATAGGATTATGGTTTTTTGATGAATATGAGATTTATGCTGTTTGTGTATTGGTCAGTTCTGCGTTTTCGATTGGTACATCTTTGTATCAGTTAAAAGAGGTTTGAAAATAACATATTAAGTTAATTTCTCTGACCAGCGATAAAATTTAATATTTTAAATCATTTTTTTTAGCAAAGTCGATCTCTGAAAAAAACTGTAGACACTCATAACTGTGATATATATACAGTTTTAAGAAGAAATAGTGGTAAATTTATTTTTTATATTGTTTATGAAGTTATAGTTATTGTTTAGTCTTTATTATTCATATTTTTTCCATTTCAGAAAATATCAAAGTAAAAGCAGAGTATTTGGTTCCTGGAGATGTAATTGTAATTCCACCAGGAGGTGGTAATATTGCGTGTGATGCTTTATTGCTGTCTGGTAACTGTATCGTGGATGAGAGTCTTCTTACAGGTAATATATTATTTTAAATAGTTGTTTAATATAATGATATAATACTAATTCAATTAAAATTATTTTTGGAGATGAATTGCTTAATTATCCCAACGTACCATAAAATTTAAATAGATAATAACAATGATTAAAAATAGATTATTCTATGGGTATAATGTCAATTTAACGTGTAGTATCTTCATCACTTAACCAATTTATGGAATTATAAAAATAACTTATTTTCTCAGGTGAAAGTGAACCTATAACAAAAAGTCCTCCGTCTTCTATTGAAGAGTTTTGCTATGTAAGCTCAGCTCATAAACACCACACATTATACTGTGGAACAAGAATTTTACAATCGAGATTTTATTCTGGTGCACAAGTATAAATATCATAATTACAATTTTTGAGCCACTTTTACTAAAGATTAGTTCAAGACTATATTTTAATTTTGTGTTTAGGTTCTAGCTTTAGTCGTGAGAACTGGAAGTTCTACAGCTAAAGGAAATTTGATACGTTCAATTATGTTCCCAAAAGAAATAGATTTCGAATTTTATCTGGACTCCATTAAATTTGTTATCATTATGTTTATTGTTGCTACAATAGGTATGGGTTATTGTGCATATTTATATTTAATGAGACAGGTAAGTTTTCTTGGTATTAAACTTAAATTTCATAACTTTTAAAATTTTATAGAATTTTTTTGTTTTCCATTAAGTATTATTAAACTTGTTAAATTTTTTAGGCTTCTTTAGAGTATATTGTTATTAGGAGTCTTGACATTTATACTGTGGTAGTACCTCCTGCTTTACCAGCAGCAATGACAATAGGTATTGTACATTCTCTTCAACGTTTAAAACGCCATAAAATATATTGCACTTGTCAATCTCGCATCAATGTATCAGGAAAAATAAAACTAGTTTGCTTTGATAAGGTGGGTAATAATTAAATTAATAATTTAATAGTGTAAAAAAAAATATGTTACACATATGTATTAGTACAGAGTCAAATCTAAGATTGGTGCTGAAGTTATATTTTATTGATTTATTTTCTTGGGTTAATTTTAGTTTTAAAGAAGTGTGCTAGAGTTGACTGTATTTAGGCCTTTAAATCCTTTTTGAGCACCTCATACTGATTTATAGTAATTTGGTTTATTTACCAAATTGTATCCAAAGAAGTATTGTTACCATTGTTAGTGTATCTGTCCATATAAAGGGTATCTTTCTACGTCATTCTTTATATTGTTAAAATAGTCTCTGGCAAAATTAAGTACCTCTTTGGGTTATATATTTTTAATATATTATTTTTTTGTAAATGATTTTCTTAAGAGTTTAAACTTTAATGTAGCTAAGGTGTTACATTCATACATAAATGTAAATATTTTTGTTTTGTTCTAAATTTTCTGAACAATTGTGATTCTGACAATTTCATTATGTAAAGACTTTATAGCAGATGACTGTGTCCTTCTATCAGTAATACAGTCAGAATGCTTTCATATGATATATAATCATTTTATTAAAATCTAAATATTGTGTAAATTTAATTATAACTCAATACCTTAAATTTTAGACAGGTACTCTTACAGAAGATGGACTTGATTTTTTAGGTGTTTTACCATTTAGTGAGGATTTAGATATTTCTTCTGATATATCAACAAAATTAATAAAAGATATAGCTGAACTAGATGTGCGATCACCATTAGTAGCTGCCATGGCTACTTGTCACTCTCTTACTCATATTCAAGGATGTTTAGCAGGAGATCCTTTAGACTTGAGCATGTTCAATGCTACTAATTGGGTATAAATAGAATTATACATTTTTATAAAAATGAATTTATATACTGTACATTAATTATGTATTATACATGAACCTATTTCTATTAACAATTATTAAATAAATCTATGTTGTTAATTAGTTAAGTTTCATTAATATTTTAGGAATTTGAAGAACCAGGAGTTGATAGTTCAAGGTTTGATAATTTATTGCCTTCCATTGTGAGACCACCAAAACAATTAGACATAGAAGATGTAAAAACAAATTATTTTTATGTAATTTGATTAGATATATTTTTATGTTTTCTTTATATTTATTAATATCAGAACCCAGTGGAAATTGGTATAGTGCATCAGTATCCGTTCAACTCTAAAACTCAAAGTATGTGTGTAATAGGTAAAGTTTTTGGATCTCGAAATTATACGGTTTATTGTAAAGGTGCTCCAGAAAAAATAATACAGAGTTGTTTGTCACACACAAGTAAGAAAATATTAACATATTTTCAGGTTTACCATTTATACAATTTTATATCTTTGTTTAAATTTTTTACAGTTCCTTCAAATACTTTTTCTGTTTTGGAAAAATTTGGTTCCTTAGGGTATAGAATTTTAGCATTAGCATATAAAAACTTGCCAAAGAAAGTAAATTGGAAAAATTTATATCATCTGAAGCTGGAAGAGGTATGATCTTAAAATTTTCAATTTTAACTTCTTCTTCTAGTTCTTGTGTAAATTTTCTTACTTTAAATTTTAAATTGATAGGTTCAGAGTAATTTAATTTTTCTTGGATTCCTTGTTATGCAAAATAAACTCAAACCACAATCAAGATCAGTTATTAGTCAACTTAGGACAGCCAATATAAAAAGTGTAATGGTTACAGGTTAATAGAATTATGTTTTCTTAATTTGGAGTGTTTTTTTATCATAACATTTTTATAATAATTAGGTGATAATTTGTTTACTGGTATAAGTGTTGCAAAAGAAAGTTTAATAATTCCATCATTAAACATAAATCTTGCAGTTGTAACAGCCACACCTAGTACTGAAATTACCAGAGGTGATATCAAAATAGAACCTGCTCTAGGAAATACTCTTAGTGTATGTGTTTTTTTATTTTTGTTAAGTAAAAATTAATTTAATACATTTTTAAATATTTTAGGAACCTATGCATTATGCAATTGATGGTAAATCATGGGCAGTATTAGAATCGGAATTCCCTAGTTGGCTGCCACAAATTGTTACCAAAGGTTTAGTATTTGGTCGTATGTTACCTGAACAAAAAGTAAAACTAGTAGAATATTTTCAAAGTTTAGGCTATGTGACTGCTATGTGTGGGGATGGTGCTAATGATGCTGGCGTGAGTTTTACTATTTTTTTTATACATTTTATTTATTATATAGAATATTTATTATTATTTTTTTAAGTAAATGCAAAAGTAAAACTTTTACATTTTGTTTATAAATTGAACTTGTATGTTAATATAGGCTTTAAAAGCTGCTCATGTGGGAATATCACTTTCACAAGCTGAAGCATCTATAGCTGCTCCATTTACTTCTCAAGTTACAAATGTCACATGTGTAACTAAAGTGATTCGTGAGGGGCGATGTGCCTTAGTTACAAGCTTTGGCATTTTCAAATACATGACATGTTATAGTTTGATACAATTCATAACATTAGTTATACTTTACAGTGTAATTACGATTTATTTAAAATTATTTATTTTGTTGGGTTCAAGGCTTTTTGCAGTAAGGTTTGCTTTTGTAATATTATTCCACAATTTTAGACAATATAATTTGTTATTGTATAGTTTAAAACCGTACAATTATTATTATATATATATATATATATATATATGTATATTTATTTACAATAGATACAATCATTTTGATATTTTAAGTACAGATTATTAAAGTTATCAAACTATATTTCATTAAATCAAAAATTTCTTTTTGCTTTCTTAAAAAGTAATTTAAAAGATTCTTACTGCAAATAGTGTTTTAATCTGTATTAATTTTTTACCATACAATTAGCTATATTTTAATTATTATATATTATAGAGGGGAATAATGTTAGGAAATTTTCAATTTCTTTACTTCGATTTTGTTCTTACAACATCGTTAGCAATAGTAATGGGTGATAGTGAGCCTGCTGATAAAGTATTTCCTCATCGTCCACTTTCAAGAATACTTACACCAAAAAATTTGATTCCATTATTCTTACAAATTTTGGTTTGTGCATTAATTCAACAAGCATCATTGTTTTATCTTACACTACAAAATTGGTAAAGTATTTGTCATTAGTAACAATTTTTTTATATTTGCATTATTTAATGTATTGGCAATTTTGGTTATATCACTTTTTAGAATAAGTGCCTAGTTCTAAGTTTAGTCTATTCAGATGATACAAAAAAACTTTTTTTCTAGGTAAATAATTTATCTAATGAAAACTCAATATTTTTTATGAATATTATCAATCATTAAAAGATTTAATTTAATTTATAAAACATTTATTTTAATTTTTAAATTAACATAAGGAATTAAATTTTAGCACTAAATTTATGCCCTTATCCAATAAAAATTTGAAAATGTATTGTTCAAACAATACATTTTAATATACAAAGTCGCTAGTCCAACATAAAGGATGAAGTTGAGATAATTGTAATATACTTGTAGTACACTCTACTGTTTCCTTTACCTAACGTATTTAGTTACTTTTTATCATAAATTAAATAGTTATTATAAATTATAGAATATTTTTAAATTGTTTGCCTCAATTTTTAAGTGAAACTGAGAATTAATTAAAATTATTAGCAATAAAAAAAATATTTTTAATGAAGAAATAAATTTAATCCAACCTATGGTTTAATTTCTTGCTAAAAAAATTAGATTTTTTTATAAATTTAAAAATGTTAAATTAAATTTTTATATAATAGTTGAGTGTTTTAAGCTTAAAAATGACTTAATAACAAATTAATTTACAAATGGTCTTCATGAATTTTTAAAACACATTTATTCTACAGGTATATTCCTGCAATTCCAGCTTGGTCAGATGATGATGTTATTGTGTGTTGGGAAAATACAACACTATTTTTTACTAGTGCATATCAGTATATTATTTTGGCATTAGTATTAAACAAAGGACAACCACACAGAAAGCCATTTTACATGAACTGTAAGTTTGTTTTTGATGTAATAAATTGCTACATAAATAAATCAATGTTTAATTTTTTGTTTTTATGCTTACAGTATCCTTTACTATAGTAGTTATTATTTTGATTTTGTTTACCTTGATGTTACAAACTATAGATGTATCAACAATTAAAAATATATTTGACATTGTAGTCTTAGACCAAACACATGAGAATGAACAAAGGCTTTTCCTTGTTACATTACTAGCTTTTCCAGTTCTACATTTTTATTTAGCTATTATGATTGAGGTAATTATAGATTATTAAAATGGTATTAAAAAATTGTTACTTTTATGGAGTATTATTTATTGTTGCAACTAAAATAGATTTGTTTAGTCAGCTAAATTTATTTTTAAATTCCCTAAAAAATAAGTTCAAATAACAATAAATATAATTTTTCTTAAATATCAAAGAGGCTTATTATAAGCTTAAAGGAGCTAAATCCCTTAAAGCTTTTAACTGATTACATTATAGAGACTACATTTAATATCTATATTATTTATACACTTAAAAAAAGAAAATTTATTATCTATTTTCAGTATTTTAAAAAAATAAATATTGTTATTATATGAATAATAAAAAAAAATGAAATGAAATATTTCAACTTAAAGTCTTAAATAATTTTTAAAATTTATTGGATCTATAACTTAATTTGTATAGTTTGCTAAGTGATGGCGTAACTTGATTATTATTTCATTGTTTCAATATTTCAAACATGCGTAGGAAAGATACTGTCATTGTACGTGTTTTTCAGTATATGTCATTCATTTGATGCGTAAATAACAACAATTCTTTTTCCACTCAAATATGTTGAACTTTGTGTCTGAAAAAGTGTTTTTGTGGGGAATTCTTCTTCATTACTAGAATATGAAGAAAACTTCAGAAAGTCATCGTATTTTGGTGGAAGTTTATGGTTAAAATGCTCTAAATGAACAAACGTGCCAAAAGTGGTTTACATGATTTAAAAGTGGTGAATTTGGCTTTGATGATGAAGAACGTCTTGGGCAGCTAAAAAAGTTTGAAGATGAAGAACTGGAAGCATTACTCGATGAAGATTTTTGCTAAACACAAGAAGAGCACGCAGAATCTTTGGGAGTCACTCAAGCCAGATACCTTCAAAAGCAAAGAAATTGGGTATCATATGAATTGAAGCCAAGAGATGTTGAAAGTCGATTTTGCATGTTAGAAATGCTGCTTGAACGCTACAAAAAGAAGTCTTTTTTTGCATCAGATTGTGTCTGATGATGAACAATTATCCCTTACGACAACCCCAAGCGCAAAAATTCATATGTGAAGCTTGGCCAACCAGCCAAATCAACGACAAAGTTGAATATCCATGGCGCCAAGGTAACTAGACACAAGGCATTAATTTTCCATCATGACAACCCACGCCCTCATGTTGCAAGACCAGTTAAAAACTATCTGGAAAACAGCGGCTGGGTGGTTTCACCTCAACCACCTTATAGCCAAGACATTAGTAATGTCAGACATTACTAAGAAGGGGTAATGTCACATTACCCCTTCTTACTACCATTTGTTCCAATCAATGCAGAATGAGCTTTCTGGAAAACGCTTCATGAAAGTTGAAGGTATCAAAAATTGGCTTGATTCATTTTTGCTCGCCAAGTAGGCATAGTTCTTTTAGAATGGAATCCAAAAATTGCCTGAAAGATGGAAAAAAGTTATAGCTTCATATTGGCAATACTTTGAGTAATACTATCGTACATGTTTTTCTTAAATAAATGTTCAAATTTTGAAAAAAACTGCACAAATTAAATTATAGATCCAATAATTTTAATGAAATAACGATCATTATGTCATATAAACTTTAGTGTATAATTAAGAATAAATTTTATCATTTTTTTATTAGATACTCGGAGAATCTATGCTTCTAAAAATTTGTATTAACATTGTTAAAAGAAAAAGAGCACCCAAAAATATATATAAACAAGTTCTAAATGAATCATCAAATTTCATGTCAATTTAAATTAATGATTAATGGAACAGGGGATAACATTCAGGTTACAGTAAGTTACAAGTATACTTGCAAGTCGATCTAATTTCTTATTTGAATGATGTATAGTTATAGAAGTATGTACACTATTCTATTTTGAGAACTTATCAGTTTTTTGTGTACATATTATATGTATGTAAAGCAAAACTTGTGTAATATAATTTATATATATATGTGTGTGTGTGTATGTGTGTGTGTGTATTAGTTTATAATTTTGTTGTACTGATCATTTTTATTTTATTTATTATATATTATTTTATTGCTCAAATATAATTCATAAAAAATTTGAGTTCTAAAACTCATGAGTTAGTACTAAGTAAAAATATTTTTTTAATCCAAATTATGTTATACAGAAATTAAATATATTATTTATTAATTGGTGTAACTAATTTCTTTAAATTTTACATGTTAACTTATGAAATTATAAATATAATTTTTTATTATTTTAAATTGAATCATTTATATTAGAAATATTAGAAATCTAAAAATATTTATTTTAGAATTATTTCTCAGTTTATGAAATAACGACATAAATAAATAAAAATTTGTTTTCCTCGTACAATATTTTTTGAACTAATGTGTTTATGTGGCTGATGTGGACTAATAAAACATTTATTTTCTTATGATTTATTAATTGAGTCAAAATTAGGTGCGTGTCCAATATATTTTTTGATAGGTACTATTTCAAATATGTATTTATATTTATAATTTTAGTTATTAATTAATCATAATTGACGAATTGCTATATTTTTTTTGGCGGTTGTAGAAATGTAATGTACACATATGCCCTTCTTATATCCCCAATAAGGTCGGTATACACACCACTGCATTTTTCTTTTTCTTTTTGAAGATTGTGCGATAACTAACCTTAAACAAAATCTAGAGCAGGTTAAGTCTTAAACTTCTTTCAAAGGCACCATAAATCATTAAAAAATGTTTTAATATATAGGGTGTTCAGTAAGTAAGGAAAAGGGTTTCTATTGTTCTCATTGTTAATAACAATTGACCTGTTTTATTATTTTTAAATGACTTGTATAATATTTTTGAAGTATAAAAATTAATTTTGACCTTTAAAAAATTCATTTCACATTACGCCCACAAAGTTACCATAAAAATTCTGCTCGTATTAAGTGTATATATTGTAAAATATTAACTACAATATAGTTATATATTGATAAGGTGGTATGACGCGCAATAAACTACAAGCAAATAGTTTAAGAAGACTCATTAAGTAATATCATTAATTATAGGTGTAATTTAAAATTGCTCGGAAAAGGAGCATGAAACATTTACATTAAAAACTTTAGGTATGATAAATATTTTTAAAAGAGCTCAGCCTATCCCAGTCACTCCTATTTGAACCTGTACTTTCATTAATAATAATTTTGTTATTATATACAGTGATACCATCTCTCAACAAAAGCTGCGGACAAAACTTCTTTTAAGAGAAGGTTTCCGTCTAATAAAGGTTAATAAAAAAACTCAGGACTACAGAATTTTTCTGTTTAAATAGGATTTTTGTCTAATAGTAGAACTGTTTAAAGGAGGTGTTTCATTGTATTACTATAATTATTTTAAAATGCCTTTTCGAAACATTAAAAATGTATGCTCCATTATGTCTTGTTTTTTCAAATTCACGTGTCTTATCGGTCATTTAAGAAAATAATTTTTACAAAATGAGACCACTAGATTATTTGGCTAACGGGTATGATTTACAATAATTATACTGTTGTTAAAGAAAATTTATATAAATAGCTCAAATATGAATATAATTAATTTCGATGAAATATAATAATTAAAAAATGGCGCGATGAAAAATTGTTAAAACCTATTCATCGATGAATCATTGGCAACGATGGTTTAAGTCACTAATTGAATTTTTTATATAAAAGTAATATAGTACTCATTAGCTTTGTTATGAAATGGTTGCTATCTGAATTTAGTTAATAGTTCGATGGTTTAAGTTTTTGAATAATTTTTCACAATGTACGAGTGCTTTTGGATGTTTTTGAACATAGTCTAATATTTAATTTATTTCAATTATTCGATTTCTGTATAAGCATTTTTGTAAGTGATTTTGTATTTTTACATTGATTAAAAATTCAATATGATTTCTGAATATAAAATATTATGGATCTACATTGATAATTACTTTGTTACATTAGTCATACTTATCATTACAGTTCTAAGTAAGTACATACTATTACTTCAATTGTAATGTTTAGTATTATTTATCTTGATTAATATTTAAATCATTTATCTAACACTAGTCAATATGAAAAAAAAGTCAACGATAACAATTTATTTATATTTTATATAACTTGTTTAATTTTGATAATGAATAATAATATATTACTATTAAATATGTTATCTTAGTAAAAATACTTTGTGATTATATTTTTTGTGAAAATGATTTTAGCTTCAATGCGAAGCTGAGAAGGTATTAATTTTACTATTTGTTTTTTTTTGTGTATGTTACCATTTTTTCTTAAATTTCACTGAACCGATTTCTTTCAACGATACGTCAAAAGATCACAAATCGTATCTAGTTGAAGACATTAACCTCAAAAATTGAAAAAATTTCCCTCGTTCCTCGTAAATGAGTGAAAATCTCCAAAAAAATTACAATTTTAAAAATTGATAATTTTTGAAAATTTTTTTTTACATAAAACTGCCATAAATTTTTAAAAAATGTTTGAATCAATACAATTTTTTTTTATAAATTTGACCCTTTACTTGCTCACAAGGGAGGATTCAAAATGATAACTTTTTCAACTTAACTTTTGAAAGGGTTCCGGAAATACTGACACTTTTATACATATTTTAAATAAAAGCTAATGTAATATATTTTATTATAGAAAAAAATTTTCTGATTTTATTTTGTCTTTACGCTGAAAATGGCTACCGTATGCTATTTTTGTGTTAAAATTCTCGATTTTATATTTTACATTTTTAACTTTATAATGCTATAACTTTTTAAAAAATGTATGGATCAATACAATTTTTTTATGAGAAAGAATATTTATATACCTCTTTTATTCAACATACTTTTTTTTTAAATCTGACCATTTTCCTTTATATAAGGGGTTCAAAACTATGCATTGTCGTACGTCAGTAGTACCCCGACGTAGACACAAAATAAGTACACAAATTAACTAATGTTTTTGACGACGAGTTTGTCGTTTTAAGCTCTTCTTGAGTCCTTCCGTTGGATACTCTGGTCAGCCCCAATCCCTTTAATTAGTGAACTACTAAAGGGGTAGGATTTAGACCCGTCAGCACAGTCTATCTCAAAAGTAACAGATTTAACTTTATTTATGTGTGTTACTATCAGTCTATCATATTCCAAATTTTTTGGGAACATGTTGCTATATATATTATAAATCTAAAAAATATTGTTTTTTAGTTACACCTGAATTTAACGAACAAATTTTCAATTATATTAAAATTTTATAATACACCCAATTGAGTAGATTTTTTTAACAACACTTTGATTGGCTTTATTAGTTAAAGTAAATCATTAAAATTAGTTAAGTTCTAAATATTTCAATTGTAAAATCTTTTTAAACACCAAAAGTTACTTAGAAATGATTACTATCATTTCTATTTAAGTGTTCTATTACAATACAAAAGCAAAAAAAATATTGAGCTTTTCTGATAAATTTACAGTAAATACAGTAAATTATACAAATTCCTTACTGCATCTTAACAATACTATTTTTTTTAATTCTCATAATAATATAAATTTCAAACTTGAAGTTGAGCTAAAAGTTATTGTAACAAATTCAACTTTTTTTTTATTATAAACTTACAAAAAATCAACTTTAAAAGACCAAAAAAATAGGTTAAAAATTATATTTTGTACTGACTATTTTTGACATATTAAAAATCAAAATGTAATAAATAAAAAAAAATTTTTTTGTTTTTAATTATTTTTTTATCGTAATAAATTATTTTAAAAGAAATATTAATAATTTCTAACTCTTGGTTTTTAAATAAATGATAAAATTGAAATATACAGAACTATTTTCCTTATAGTTTTATCCTGTAATATTTAACTAATTAGTTATAATATCAAAAATTATTGGTGATAGAAAAAATATAATTTCTGATTTGAAATTAGCACGAAAAATTGAATAATAAAAGTATATTTTTGACTCTGATGAATATTTTTTGCAGACCATTTATTCATAATGAACAACAAATTATTATCTAAAAAGTTTTGTGTTAAGCCCTACAATTTTGCATGTTTGCTATAAAAATAATAACTACTTTATAATTGTCGATCAATTTTCCGAAAAAATTGCAATACTAAATTATTAAGTATCAATCTCATACTAATTTAATTGCTATAATAAATATTTATTCATATATTATACTTTTAAATCTAAGAACTACTAATCAGGATATAAATAAGGAAATAAGAGTCATTTGCTATTTTAATAATCCATCAATTTTTTTAAATTAAACACTATCTACAGATTTGCACCAAAGCATTTCTTATGATAGTAATTTTAATCAATGTCAGATAGCATCTGTACTTGTCCTAACTGTGGCATATCCACACTGTGCTACCGTTTTTTTTAAATTTTATTTTGATTAAATTTGTTAGTAAGCGTTTTTGTGATAAAATATTTATTTTCTCTCCATATTACAATTACTTGACAGTATATTTAATTGTTATGAGTAATCTTATAAACATTAAAACAAGTTATGTTTAAGGTAATTAATGAAATATTTTCTAGATAAAAACTTAAATGAATCATGAGTAGTATATAATCAATTTATTTTCTCCTCTGAAAATTTTCAAAAGAGTAAATACAATGTATTAATACTAAGGTACCCAGGGTATGTTAGGGGCAATAGGGGTCAATGCAATAGAGTTCCAAAAAATACAAATACATTTTTTTTTAAGAGGTATCTTGTTTAAAAATATATTAAATAGGGGCGCCAAAAATATGGCACAATGACAGTTAACATGGCACCAAAGATACCAATACTCAAAATCGAATATAGATATGAAAAATAAATTTTTTCTGAGCAACTTTTTTACCAGCGTTATAATTGTAGCATGAGGTAATAAGTTAGATAGCGTAAGTTTTTCTAAAAAAAAACCCTTTCTTTTAATGCTAAAAATAATTTATAGGATAAGCGTAATAATGTTAGCCACCCTTCAAAAAGAATTGAGACAAAACCTCCAGAAAGACACCTTCCCCCACACAAAACCTATAGTCATAGTAATAAAATGTAACAAACACTATAGCAGATAAACAATTAGACATTTTTTAGGGGAGAAATAATTTTAATAAATTTGTCTATCTTTCTTTCTTGTCCTCAAAAACATTATAATGAAAGGGAAAGTAAGAAAAATTTTTTATTTTGCTCTCCAATCAAAATTTTCAAAAGCTCTTCGGGATTTTTTTGAAAATACGTTACTGAACTTGAGCATATACTTCAGTCTAAATATCAGTAAAAATTAGGATTGGCGAGATCACACTTACGTTAAACCATAACCTGACTGGTGTTCGTAATCAGCCTATGAGTAATTAACAATATAAGAAAAATATTATTATTTTGTTAGAGTAAATTTTTTTCTTTGCTGTTAACAGGTAAATTATTAAATATATTTTAATTATTATTGCGTATAATTAATAATAAATTTTTACGTTATGTTTATATGTGTTTATTAAATTAGCAGTACAAAAAATGTATTTAACGATAAATTTATTTATTTAATTAATTTCTTTATACATTATTAGTAAAATAATTGCTTACCTCTACATTTTTAACGAAATTGTACGATATTTGGCTTTAATATCCAATAATTCCTGAATATCAAAAATTCAGATAGTTTTAATTTTTCATCGTAAAGTACATTGTATTAACTTTAATTTAAAGTAGGATTAAAGAAGTTAGATATTTTGAAACATTATAAAAAGTTGAAAAGAAAAAATTTATAAAATTTTTTAATCGCCATAGTGCCTTGGTTATATTTATGATTAGATATAAAAAATAAATTATGTCATCGACAAGGCAAATGTTTGAATGTATTTTGATAAAAATTTCACAATTATCCAGCCCATTTTTTATCATTTATATCAATATAAAAAGAAATATCCATATGAATGTTTTATAACAACTGTAATTTGTTAAGACATTTCCCACTGATTAGATACGATTTGTGGTCTTTTAACATATGAATTAGCAAAATAAGTCTAGTAGGAGTAACTTATGTAAAATGAATAACTTCTCATCTTCGCATCAAAGTTAAAAGTGAGGGTTACACTAATTGATCTAATTTTATGAAAGTTTTAATTAAATTAAAAAAAACATAAACAAATAATTAAAAGACAGAGTATCACTAATAATTGCTCAACTACGCTATGAAGCGAAAAAATTATAATTTGCAGTAAAAATTTTGATTGAAATAAAATATAAGACGCCCTCATACTCATTTATATACTGGCGGCCAAAATTATTAGATCACCAAAGAAATTCGAATTAAAATTTCTGTCGATAATTTTTTGCAGGTGAATTATTTTTTCTTTGAATCTACAGCAATCATGTTTGTTAATATTATAATAATATTTAATAAACCAACAAGATATCAAATCTTATTTGAAAAAAATCTTAAAGTTATTGTGTGATCTAATAATTTTGGCCGGCAGTATATTTTCTAGGGAAGTTTAAAATTATTTAAAAGTATTTAATAACTAAACAAAAATTTATCAACTTTAACTGTATTTAATTATTTTGAAAATAATTAAAATATTTATTTTTTAATTGAGTTACTAATGCAGTTACGGAACATAAATAAACTCCAATTAATTAACATTATGGTATTGGTAAAATTTCTAATATATCTTGTTTTAACAGATTCTTTAAACTAATAATGAAAAATTTTTTTTCTCAAAAATAATAAAGTTTTAAATATATTTTACAGTACTACGACGTTACGGCAGTCAACATATTTTCAGGAAGTTTTTTAACCGACAGAAAATTAAATTTGATGGACTTGTAAATTTGAATGAGGACAAAACTTGCACTGAATTGGTAAAGTTAACAAACGATTAATTTGAAATATGTCGATGAAAAAAACTATTGAAAATTTCTAATAAAATTTGACATTGATAAAATGTATGGTCCTTAAAAACAGATATGTATTATAATTTTATGAGGGAGATTATACATATAATGAAATTATTAGGTAAGATTAAATAACTAAACGTTCTATTAAGTTACCAGAATTTTTTTTAACTCTCTTAATTCCTTCATTTGTATAATGATATTATTTTCAATTATAAACATTAAAAATTATTTTTTATTAAAAATGTTCAATAATATTTATGTAAAAATTATTTACATACAATTTAATTTACCCTGCACATTAAAAAAAATTAAATAATATATAGATTGGTTCACAACGTTTTTTAAAAAATCTAATAACTTTTGATCCAGCTAAAATAATGAATTATTTTTTTAAAATAATTTTTACAATTATATACATTAAATGCATATTTTTTCTTGGTCTCTAATAAGAAAAGTCAATTTATATTTTAGAAAATAATTCTTATTTTGAAGAAAAATTAATTTTTTTGAAACGTTCATTAAAAGTATATCTCTTTTACAAAAAAAGTAGTTGTTTACTCCCATTTAAACTTTTTATAACAGTGAATAACGTAATAAATAATCGAAAAAAATTTATAATCCGACACCTGGGTAGAAGATATTGTGATGTTTCAGTATGTTCTTATAAATGTTATTAAACTCGATATTAACTGTGTTTCTTTAGCAGCATAACACACCATACTATTGAGAGTAGTAACAACACAGTTAATCTCAACTCAAAATGGTAAATAAGGTATCCCACTGCGCAACACTGCGTTCTTCTGTAAAAAATTATTATGAAACATCTTAATGAATCATACAACTCTTCTGAAGTAATTTATCATAAATATCAGTTTATATTATGTATTTAAGGTAAAAGGTCGCCTGCTTAAAGTTTTGATCTATGTGTTAAAAAAATATTTGATGATTTTTCTTAGCTTTTTTCAGTGTAAAAAGGAAACTTAATAATTACGATGCTTAAATCTATTGTATCTAAAATTCACAAAATTATTTCAATTTTATCTATAAATAAGGCACATTAATTGTGTCCATTTTTTTCCTTGCAAAGATTCTGATTGTCATTGACTTCTTTTTGCTTATCTCCTTATAGAATTTTAGCTCATGATCACTCTTACTTCTTGATATAAAATGTAATTTTATTAATTATATCAATAATAAATATAATTTATACTTTATATTTAATACTAGAAAATTAATGTCAACTTTTTTAATGGAATTTAGGATTTAAGTATACCTGCTGGTACAAATAGCAAAGATAAAGGAAAAACGACTAAAGATTGTGGCGAGTCACTCAAAATATCTGATGTAAGCTTTACTATTATATATACATCTCCATTTTTCATGAAATACTTTTTTGATTTATTTCACTTTAAAACATAAAAGTAACAGTAAAATTTAGCAACATTACTTCAAATATAAATATTGAGTATATAGAGTGTTCCACCGTCATTTACTAATTTTAACATTAGTTTATATAGTCAAATTAGTAAATCACGGTGGGACACTCTGTATATTCTTGTTTCATGAATTTTAAACACTAGGAAGAAGATTCGAGTTATGAGTGTTGTGATTATATTCAAAACTCAAATTGTTCAAGTTCCAAGTTTAGTGATTCATTACCAAGCACTGTCAGCGAAAAAAATTCAATACAGGTATACATGTTTTAATTTGACTAGTGAATGGTGTTATGCGAAAAGCAATGATTCAACAATAAATAAAAAACGATATTTTATTTACAACAGCTTAAAAATGTCCTTTTATTTAATTTGCACATTATAACTAAGTCAGTATTTGATTGTATATCGCCCTAAGTTATGACACAAAAACTATCTTAATAATTATATCAATTATAACCAGTGATCAGAACATTAACTAAAAATTGAACTCGTTCCTGTTCACATTTAATGTGTAAAAATAAACTCGTTTACACTCAAATTCATTTTTTTTTGTCAAATTAAACATTCCCATGCATATTTATTAAAATATTTTTGTATTTTTAAATAATTTATTACGAATCTATATAATTAACATAAATAGTTCAATTCAGACAAATTTAAATCTTTATAAAAAAAATATAAAAATTTTACTTTTAGTATAGTTATGGAGTTTGTTATAGGCATACAAATTAGAAAAAATTTCCTTACCCTAAATTCCCTAAAAAAATTTTGTATCTTCATCATGTAAATATTTTAGAGTTATCTTATACGCCAAATACCCTCTTTATTACAGCCCTGTTTACCTTTAAATGAAATATTACAATTTTAATTGCTACATAAATAGATTATATATTTATTGTAGATACATAAATAGTGTATTTATTATACACAATTCATATTTTCCAAATTATTGTTTTATTCATTTCTTTCGTCAGAAACAGTAATAAAATGTGCACGTTTTTTATTTGAATTTATTATAAAACAAAAAAAATAATTATAAATATACAAATCGATTGCACTACAATTGCAATTGTTCATAAGATACTAGGTAAATTTTAACAATTTGTATCAGGTAAATAATGCACTAATGCTTTGCGTGTTGTTCTACCTGTCTCCATATATTTAGCAGGTTTGTTACGTTTTAAACATTAATTATTTCAAAACTTACATTGGTCTTATGGGACATTTTAAACTGTTTACTTGTTTTATACACTTCTTTTTTTACTATCCTGATTTTTAAATCAACATTCGACTGTACAAGAAAGCCTTTTGCCAGCTCATACAGTACCTTATCATACAACGGGTATATTTCATTATTATTATTTATACAAAGTCATATACTATTTCGTCTTGAGTTCGTATAAATTGTAATATTATTAATTATGTGAACGGCCTAAAAAGTTTTTAAATTCGTCAAAAATTTTAATTTTGTTTATGTTCACCAAATAAGAACGTGCTTTCATAGAAGACGTTATTTCAAACACTGATTATGACTAAATAAGATAAATAATAAGTAGAATTTTAAGTGAAGAATGGTTTCTTTTTGTATAAGACCATTCGATTGTTACTATAATTATTTATAAAAACTAAATATGATCTTGATGCTAGTCATATTCTGAATTTGGGGATTTTAGCCCCCAAAACAAAAAACATAGTTATGCCACTGCACATTTTAAATTATTTTTATATATTAAATTCAGAAACAAATATCATTTTTATTGTTTTAACATATAATACAATTTTATTAATTTAAATTTATAACTTTTATATCTAATACTAGCAAGCAATGTTTATTTTTTTATCGAGTCTAGGATAAATTCATTGAAGAAATAAATAATGATTCACTAATAGACTTGAGTATACCTGAAAGTAAAAGTAGCGACGAAGTAAAAACGTCGGAAGATTTTGACGAGTCTCTCAAAATGTTAAATGTAAGTTTTTTTTGCTATTACTTTTATATTTTCATATTTTTATTTATATCATTGTAAAACTTAAAAGTAATAGTAAAATTTAACAAAATTACTTCAAATACAAAAAATATATATTCTTGGTTCATTAATTTTGAATATTAGAAAGAAGAATCGGATTACGAGTGCTGTGATTGTATTCAAAACTCAAGTTGTTTAATTTCACAGTTAAGTGATTCATTACCAAGTTCTATTCACAGCGGAGAAAATTCAATAGAGGTATATATATATTTTTAATTGTTTTTTTTTTGTTATATTAAATTAAGAAACGTAAGTGTTTTTGGATGGTTATTATACAGATAAATAGCAACTGAGTTAAACTAATAATTTTTTTCTATAACATTACAAATTGAAAATAAAATTTATATTATTTGATGATGAATATACAGTGAAAAGTATAATCTTAAGTACCTTTCTGTAATTGATGAGATATTTTCAGTTAATTATGTAATTTAAAAAGTTAATTGAGGTGAGTACAGGGAATTTTCAGGAAAATGAAAAACCATTTACTAAACCCAAGGTTTCAAAATGTTCTAAACGTTTCAATAGCAAAAAAAAAAAAGTTTTGAGTCAAATGTTTTTTTATTATTGAGTAACATAAGTAATTAATATTATACTGACCTCGTAAATAAGTTATTAAGATAACCCGACGGTTGGATCAAAGTATTTTGCCTCAAGTAAATTGAAAATTTGCATAATTTTATAATTTCTTATATTTTTTTTAGTTTTAGCTTCGATGCGAAGCTGAGAAGGTATTGGTTTTACTATGATGTGTATTTCTTATTTTTGTGTCTGTTACCACTTTTTCTTAGCTCTCACCGAATGGATTTCTTTCAACGATACGTCAAAAGATCACAGATCGTATCTAGTCAAAGACATTACCTTCAAAAATTGAAAAAATTTCCCTCGTTCACCGTAAATGGGGGAAACCTCCAAAAAAATTACAAATTTAAAAATCGCTAATTTTTGACAGTTTCTTTTTACTTAAAACTGCCATAACTTTTTCAAAAATGAACAAATCAATTTTTTTTTATATAGATGCATGATGTCCTTACCTATCATTTGGTATATTTTTTTGATAAATCTGTCCCTTCACCTGCCCACAAGGGGGGATTTAAAATGACAACTTTTTCACAAAAAATTTAGTTTTTCAACTTAACTTTTGAAAGTGTTCCGGAAAGTCTGACACTTTTATATATATCTTAAATTAAAGCTAATGTAATGTACTTTATTATGGAAGAAAAAAATTTGACCTCTGGACTTGTTTTTAGGGTGTAAATAGCTACTGAATGCTATTTTTGTGTGAAAATCTCGATTTTATATTTTACATTTTCAACTTTATAATGCTATAACTTATTGAAAAGTGTATGGATCAACACAATTTTTTTATGAGAAATAATATTTTTTAATAATCCCTTTTTCATTTGACATACTTTATTTTAATCAGGATATTAATAAGGAACTAGGAGATCATGTAGCTTTTGGAATAATCCATCAATTTTTTTAAATTAAACACTATCTAAAGATTTGCATCGAAGCGTTTTTTTTCATAGTGATTTTAATCACTGTCAGATATCATTATACTTGATCCAATTATGCCACGTTACCACTGTGCCGCGACCCCCTGTGCTGGGTTTTTTTTGTTTATTAAATTATATTTTAAATAAAAATATCTAAAAATTAAAAAATGCCACCTGTGTGTTAAGTAGGCCTAATGATCTTATTACATTTTTCTGTGCAATACTAGTTCAATTGCACAACTAGTGGTTCAGTTTTAAGATTTATAGTTCACGAAAAAAATATTTTTTTGGGCTTTGTTTCTTTTTGATGCCATGACCGTAATTGAAATATAATTCATTATATTCTTAATATTTTATAAATACCTACTAATTTGAGAAAATACAATATTTATTTATTTTATTTATTAATAATATCTTAATATAAAATCTAGTTTTCTTAATATACTTAAAATTGATTTTTTCAGTTTGTTGAAGATTTCAGTGATATAAGCTTTCCGGTAGTTGATCATTTAAATGAAGCATTTATTGAAGATTAAACATTCAATATTTCGTATAAAATATATTGTGCATATCTATCTAACATGTTATCATTGAGTAAAAATAAAATTTTATTTTTGAATTCGATGTTTTTTTACCTTTCAGAAGTATTTTATTTTTAAATATTTTGTGGGAATATTAACATTCAGTTGTTATAGACATTATTGTTTTACTTTATTGGTTGAGTAGATTAGAAAAGTTAAATCCAGCGACTTTGTTAATGTTAAAAAATGTTTAATTTCTTATGATATCATAAATGCTAATCTAACTACTATAAATAATTTAGAATATTTAAGTTTAATATATATTTATAAACTTTAATATATTATTTGTTTTTCTTTATCTCGTTTAATTTTATAAAAATACTTTAATATAATTTATAAGCAGGTATGCATAGTTAAATGTGTGGCAATTTATTTTATCTACAATCTATTTTGTAAAAAGAATCTAAAAATATTGTTTTTAAGAAAACATATACAGAGTGATTTTTTTATCATAACCCACTCAATTACTTACAGATTAATAATAATTTAAACATTTTTTTTTTTTTTGTTATCTTTAGTTACACATTATTCTTGAATTATTAACTATGTAATACTTTTTAAGTTCATCCCTTATGCCTGGTAAGGGTGTCAACTTTGTTTTTTTAAATGGGAACACATATTTTGAATTTTGAATTTAATAATAAATGGCGTTCCAAAAAATTCCCATTTAAAAAACAAAGTTGACACCCTTACAAGGCGTAAGAGATGAACATAAAGTTTTAAATAGTTAATAATTAAAAAATAATGTGTAACTAAAGAAAACCCAAAAAAAAAAAAAAATGTTATATATATTCTGCAAGTAATTGAGTAGGTTATGATAAAAAAATCACCCTGTATATTGGCCGACCCCAAGTAGTTGGGATTAAGGTGAGGAAGAAGAAGAAAACGTATATATAGATCATATTATAGTAGTTTTACACTTATTGTTATATAAAGTCTCATAAGACAAAACTTTTTTTACTATAGAAAGTTGTAAATTATGGTATTTACAGATATTATTAACACTCATAGCTAAAAACAACAACATTTAAAAATCACTATTTTTAAAAATAAAGTAAAATTTTCTATGGTTACCTAAAACTAGAAGGTTAATTTATTACATTTTTGTGACTTAATTTAAATAATTTATTTAAAGAAATAAAAGAAATTAACATACAAAAAAGTATTAATTAATAATACAAATAGTATATAATACTACCATTTATAAATAATATTACCATTTAAAAAATTAACAACATTGTGCACCAAAAGAATATAACAAGAATGGTATAATTATCACAATAAAATAATGAAATATTTTAATGATAATGCTATACAGCATTGACATTTATAAAAATGAGTAAATTACAAGCTTGGTTCTTTATTGTCATTATCAAATGCCTTTTTTTCTGAGCGAGTTTTATCTCTAGCGCATTTTGGACATAATTTAGCTTCCTTATAACATTTTCGATGAAATACAGCTTTGCATTGGCGACACTTAAAAATAATGAACATTTTTAATGATTAGTAGAGATAAATATATATATTATTAATTTCTTGATATTCTAAATAGTTCTATACATTGGTATCTAAAATATTCTATATAGTTAATTTATCAGATTTTCGGTAATTTAATATATCAGGTAATTTATAATATGGGATAAAGCTGAATATAATGGTTGTTTTTTTTTAAACGTTCCTTAAATATTTGATTTTGTTTTCATATGTTACACCTGATAAAGAACATATTATTTTTTTAAATTTGGTTTGTCCACTAAGAATCTTTTTTTGGACTACTATCACCTGAAGATTAAGAAAGTTTATAATGAAAGATACCTATTTCTGTAGAGATTTTCACTACCATAACAAATTATTGTTTAAGAGCTATGTTATGGTAAAAAAAATAAATAAGTTAATTACTCATATAAATGATTATATACTATAAAAATAATAAAAATTGCTACTAGACTTAAATTTTAAAAATTGAGACATACTGTAAATCTGAAAGATGCATTTGCATCTTATATTTATCAAAAGCACAAAAATCAAACTTTAAAACTGCTTTTTTTGGTTGATTGAAAGGTGGTTCAAAAAAATAATAATCCTACAATAGTATGATAAATAATAATAACTTATAAAAACTAAATTACTAATATATTAAGTTATTAATTTACTCTATAGTTATCAGCAATATCAAATGGATATATTATTTTTGGATCTTGACATAATTCACAAATGAATCCTCTTTGACTGCATATTTGACAATTGTAAATATGTTCCCTGTTAGATGCAATTTTTTGTTCAAGAAATTCAAACAATGTACCGGTGTATATTTCTTGAAGGTCCTAAACAAATAGTTGTTAAAAATAATAATATTAAAATTAATCATTATACTAATCATTAATGATTTTAAAACTTACTGCGAATGAATATAAATGTATATTATTGTAAAAATAAATACGAGGCCAAATATCTTTGGATAAATTTTCAATGTTGCAAAGTTTGCATGTGGTTAAGTATCGATACAAATAATAAATTTGCCAACGCAATTCCTAAATAGAAAGAAAATTTTTAGTATATATATATATAATTACAGAATGATTCTTTTATCATGAACCAATTATTAAATTGAAAAATATAAATAATATAAGTAATTTTTTTTGTTATCTTTTAGTTATATGTTTTCCTCAATTTATCAATTGTGAAGTGTTTTTTATATTCAATCTTTATACCTTATTAAAAAAAGTCAAATTTATTTTTCAAATGAATACATATATAGAGTGTTCATTAAGTAAGAAAACAGGTTTCTATTGTTCTCATTGTTTGTAACAATTGACCTGTTCCTTACTTACTGAACACTCTGTATAATTAATTTACATATTTATTAGATAATGATCTAATTAAGAAAATTACTGGTGATAATATCTTATGGACCAGTAATTTAGAAGTTATGAACAATTTAAAATAGTAGTGGTGATTAGTCATAGTTCCTACCAAACACCCTTCTACCAAAAAATCTACTGATTAAAAAGTAGTGATCTCTACATTGTGGCCAAGTTTGCTTTTTAGGGATAAATTTCTTTCCTACTTTCATGAGAAACACTGCTTCTTAAAGAATGTTAAACATTTCTCATAAATTCATTTGTATTGTTTAACAAATTAAGTTTTGGGTTATTTTTAAATGAAGCATAAAACGGATATTGCAGTGATTTCCAACATATTCTAAAAGGGATATTTTTCTTCTAAGTTCTCTAAATTTTTCATCAAGAAAGTAATTCTTAAATGAGTACTAAGCCAGTACTTGGACAGAAACTAGCCAAATGTCGAGAAAACAAATAAAAGAACATTGTTGATTATTTTTTTATGGTTTATTATTTCTTGGCGGAGAGAAGGTTGGAATTAACATTTAGGGTTTTTGTAATGACTGTCACTTATTTTTGAAAACTCTAATTGGAAAATTACCTAATTTTCATGAGTTACTGAAAAATCTTAGCAGGCGATTGCATGTTCTGCTGCCTCAATTAACACTCTTGCCTATAAGATTGTTTATTTTGAGAAAATAACAATTTTTATTTTTTTTATTTACATTATAAGATCTATTTTTGTGCCAAATTTATACGGAAGGTGTCACAATTTTTATCATTAATTAAAATTAGCCAGTCTGTTAATACAAAATGAAATTAGGCTTTCTTTCTCGTTTCTCCAAAAAAAAAAAAATTATTGTTTATGTAGAATTTCACTTTCTCTACTATTATACATTTAATTTAATGATTCACAATATATAGAATGTTCATTAAGTAAGGACACTAGTTTCTATTATTCTCATTGTTTGTAACAATTGATCTGTTTCTTTACCTACTGAAAACCCTATATATTGCGTTCCATTTAATTAAAATGTAAGTCGCATGTATAGGAATTAATATCTCTAACCATCAACGACTAACATTTAAATCACTTAATTTTTTTTTATTATTTTTATAGTTAATTAAAATTTTACCTTAATTTTTGTCATTTCTTTATTGATTTTATATAGTTTTTTATCAATACTGCGAATGTTGAAAAGTGGATGATATTGTATTTCACTAAGAAACTTTGCTGTACTGTTGCATACTTGATAATTGTTGAAATCCCAATCAAGTAATATTTTAGATGGAATAGGCCACATTTCTGACCCAAAACAATGTACACAATAATAGCATGCTGTGAAGTTGCACTTACTAAAAGAAATACATTTGTAATATAAAATATTATATAATTATAATTAACTGAAACTTACAAATAGTTGCCAAAATCAATACCAATTGTTTCATTGCAATTTTTACATGTAAAATCTTGAGAATTAAGGCCACTTTCTTGAGCTGGAGTAAACAAATATTCTAAGTATAACTTTAACATCTGTAACATCAAAAAATAAAATAACTAACTTGTATTAAGTCTAAAACTGATTAACAAAAAATACCTCTAAACTTAGTTTTTCAGGATGCATGGAAACTTGAATAAATGAATCATCATCCTGTAAGTTGATGAAAACAAAATTTTTAAAAATTATAATAAAATATAATTTTATTTTGAAAAATACACTTACTTCACCTAGGGTATCAGGACTATTATATTGTTGTTCTTCAATAATTTTTTTAAAGGTTAGTTGTTTATATAACTCGTCAACTTTAGGGCTCTCGGAAGAATTTTTTATTCTCAAGTTATAAGATTCTAATAAGTCATTAAAGCTTTGAGTAGTTTCAATCTCAGAAGCTACTTCTGTATTTAAAGAATTTTCAGGTTTTTCAACGCGATCAGAAGGATTCATTAGGCTTTCATCTTCAGAAGGTTTCTCAGTTTCATTACTATCTGTAACAAGTATTTTAACAAAAGAAGTCTGTGTTTTTGAAGTTTCATTGGAGCTGTTAAAATCATTAGAAGAGTTTGATTTTATAAAAGATGAAGCATGCTGTTTCATAATTAAATTCCAACCTAAATCTTCATCAATTAGTACTAATGGTTTACGTATGAATTCAGAATCAACATATGACGATGACAATGATGATGCGTAACTTTCTTCTGATCTATTATTATCATTAATTAAAATTGCCTCTTCTGTATCATTTACATCTGCAACTTCTGCTAGCTGAGGATTATTATTGTATAAAGGATTATTTTTAAGGGCTGGGGTCCAATAACCAGCAAGTAACAATGTACCATTAGGCCAAGTATTTAAAAGACTAGAGTTCAAAGTAAGATCAAAATTGTATGCATCAATTCCTTCCATGAGGCCAATAATTTTTTCAAAAGATGCATGATCTCGTATTATTGCTTTTTTATTGTAAAATTTTATGATATATCTTCGATATTTTGCAACTGACATCAGATAACTTCGGAATACTCCATCATTCAATGTAGTCCGTATCCAAGCTCGACACTTACCAACATCTGTTGTTACATGCTTCAATGAATTTATCTAAAAAACAAAAAATTTTATAAAACTTAAGTGAAGATATGTCAACAAAATAAAAGTAGACTTAATTACATACCTGATCAACAATACCATTTGGAGAAATAACTAATAAACAGTGCCAAAAATTAATATCTGTATTTCTATCAACATCATCACCTATTACAGTAGACAGTTTACTAATGAAGGACTCTTTGAGACCATGTAAAAAAAGGCTTTCCATACTAGATAATAATCTGTCAGCTACATAGTTAGAACTGATAACTTTTTCATCTTTGTCTATAAATTCTGAATGAAATTCTTTGAGTCTTTCTTCAAAATGCAGTATAATAGATCCTTTATTTGATTCGTCCTTAAGTTCTTTATTACTAATAATACTTCTAAATAAATTATTCATTATAATTCTATTAAACCAAACTGACGTAATATGTGAATAGTAGGTAAAAGAGCAGAACCAGTTCTCAATATACTATAGTAGTTAGATTTTGATAAATCAACTATAGTAGAACCTTGACGTAATGATATGGAATTACCAATTAAACCACCATCAAAAATAGCATCTAACTTAGGCCACAAAGTTGAAAATTCTTCAGGTTTTAATGTACTAGATGTGTTACTTTTATTAGCACTAGTGAGTGCAATAGGATTTTTTAGACAGCTTACAATACTACATATAAAACCACTATCTGGTACTCGAATAGCAACTTTTGATTCACCTGGATTAAGTGCAATATTTAGCACAGAAGTTCTTTCTAAAACGACAGTCACTGGTCCAGGAAGTAATGCATCTAAGAGACCATAAGGCAGATGATTTATTTTACCCCACTTGCCAATATCATTCACATTGTGAGTACAGATAGAAATAGGTTTAGTAGGATTACGACCTTTAATATTATAGAGCTTTTTAATTGCTAAAGAGTTTTGTACATCTGATGCAAGCCCATAAACAGTGTCTGTTGGTAACGCTATTACACATCCGTCATTTATTAATTTGACAGCTAATGTTACAGCCTGTGGCTCACTTTTGTCATTGATTTCAATTAATTTGTTCATTAAAATCTCTTTTGGTTTGAAATAATAAGATTTTGATGTTAATTTAAAGCATAAAAAATTTAATGAAATTTTAGAAAATAAAAACTTGCACGTAACCAAATCTTGGTAGAGCATTTATTTCAATGCTCAACACACAAATAGAATTCAATAAATGAATAACATGCATAAAGTTCCATAGAATATCTGCAAAATATAACACACTATTATGAATAAATCAATTTTATTGAAAAAAAATTTAGTAAAAAGTTTCTTTGTAGAATTATATACACTTATGATATAATTCAACAAATATGTGTATAATATAATATAGTATTTGTAAAATCAATTATAAATTTATTATGTAAAAATGCACTGTTTTTACAAAATAAAAATTCTTTCATTTTAATAACAATCTTATTCATTGAGACTTAGTTTTCTATGTTAATGTCATTAACATGGACTGTCAGTCCAAATTGAACAAAAATACATATGAAATGAAATATGGTACATATGCAAATAGTGAGATTTGATTTTTATTATTGTGATTATTTATTAGTATTTAATTTAAATTTTAATAGATAATCACAACAAAATGCACTTAATTTATTTTAATTTAAAACACACACTATCATTGTAAAATATCAAAAATATTAAAATTAATTCCTATTAAAAAAACAAATTATATTTCTATGAAAGAAAATTAGTATTTAATAAAAATATATAATTAGAATTAATAATATAAGGTAAAATTTGTATATTTTTTAAAATATTTTTTTTGTTTTTATGCGTTGAGCTAAATTTCTAACCTCTATTTAAATAGTGTAAAATTTAGCATAAAGATTAGTTGGTGTTAACTTACATATTATGTTTGCTTTATTAATTTTTTTATATTATTCGATGAATTTTAGAAAGAAAAGTGTTTCTTCTCTTATTAAAGTAATATAACTTTAAATGATAGCATGCATTATAAAATAATGTAGATTAGAAATTGAAAAGTACAAAAAATTGTATTTAAAAATACTTTTATCCCAATCAAAAATTAATAAGATATCACAATGTATAAGAACATAATAGATTCTTTTTATTTATTTTATAGTAAAAAAGACATAATGTGCATTAAACGTTTATTGAAAAATTAACAATACTGAAATAACTAAACTCACTTACTAGTCAATTATAATTATGGATATACATGAAAATAAATATACATGAAATATAAAAAAAATTAAATGGGGCACATTGTTTGATTTTTTTGAAAATTTTAATTATAATGAAATTTATTAAGATAAATCATGAAAAAATATTAGTACATAGAAATAAAAAAATATTAATAAATTGCAAGGCCATGTAACGTAGTTATCAGTAAATAATTTTAGCGTACGGATTTTATGATAATAGGTGTGATAACGAAAAATTACTAACGACAGAGTGATTTATGTGACGACTAAATTTCTCCTAAAATAATAATAATTTTGAATACAGAGTCAAAATATAATATCTTATAAAGTATAATATATAATTTAATATTGAAAATATCACAGAAAAAAAACAAAAATCATTTAACTCTTGATGGCTTATTTTTCAATGTGTATTTACAGATAACTCGGGGTAACTAACCGTGAAATATTACTTCCCCCGGGTCACTAATGTCATTAATTTTAAAATAAAAATAAAAATAAAACTAACATAATTACAATAATAGTCAGTGTATATTAGTGCTGTAATATAAAGGGGCAGGGAGTGGCAGAAATACCAATTTTGTCCCAATTTAATGAAAAAAAATTATTATGCTAAAAATAATTTTATATTGTTAAAAGAATTTTCTTAAGTACTTTAATTAAAAAAATCGTTTATTATGGATTTCAGTTTTTGTGATTATTCGTTAATTTAATGTTTATTGCTATTCTATTAATAATTATGACCCAGCAAATGTTATTGATTTAATTAAAACTGCAATCAAGTTTTTGCCAAAGATAAAATTTTAATGTAGTAAAAGTTATTTTGCTTAAAAAGATTGATTTTAAATAGATAGTTCCCAAAGTTCATGATATGGTAAAAAATTATAATTAATTCAAAAGACTATATTTTAGTATATAATCAATAGTATTATTATATACATTATCAATGGTAAAGTTTCTAAACTTCTTGATTTTAGCTTCGATGCGAAGCTGTAACGGTATTAAGAGGCATTACTTCAGGGCGGCTTACGCCATCTCTAAAACTCACATCACCACGTTGTGAATCAGCCCGAAGTTAATCAAGAACTGATTCATAACGTGGTGTGGCCACTCCTAGACCAAAGCCTTGCACCGGAAAAGGTGTGCAGAGCGCTGTCAGCCTCTTTCGAATAGTGGTCGGACATCGACGCGGCTGCTTTACGAATACGGTGTAAGTACTCATTAAAACAGCTGTGGTTGGACATCACTTGGGTGAGACGATGATAAGTCATCTCACCGTAAGTCCGGTCCACCCACCTGTTCAGCCGATCGGATCCTAGGAGGGACCTCATAGGTCATGAGATAAGTCATTGAGTACTTAAGCGGAATCTTCACCCTCAGCACGACGATCCATGGAGGATTGAACTTATACCTACCCGTGAGCAAGGCCGCTTCGGTCTTGTCCAGGGCGAGGCTCAGTCCATTCCCTTCCTACTGGATCCTGGCGGTGACTGCACTAAGCGCACAGTTCCCACGAGATCCATCCTCCTTAGACGAGGCGCCTTCCGCCACCACCAGCGATTAGTGCAAGATTTTTATACTGATAAAAAATAAAATTCAAAAATACGAATTTCCATTAGTGCACTAAAATCATAATATAATGTTTTAGTGTGCTAAGACTTTGTTAATGATTAGTTCAAGATCANAAAAAAATGACACGTAAAAACAATCGACTGACTGACTAAAATAGACCCCCTGAATTCTATATTGAAATAAAATAGAAGTTTCGAGAATATTTGAGAAACTTCTAGAATAATTTTTCCACATANCGAAGGCGCTTGCAACAGAAAAAAAATGACACGTAAAAACAATCGACTGACTGACTTATATAGACCCCCTGAATTCTATATTGAAATAAAATAGAAGTTTCGAGAATATTTGAGAAACTTCTAGAATAATTTTTCCACATAAATAATTATCAATTTTAAATACTATTCTGATCTACAATTATTGTATTACTTGTCGCGGTCGCACTCCAGCTTTACCACTGGATGGCGATCGCGGCGCTTCCCCTTTACGTCCGGCAGTTCAAACATATGGAGTGGCCGACGGGCGGCGTGAACCGGTCCAGGCCGCCGGCCACTAACAATAATGAAACATATCATATTTCAACGTCCTCACGGAATAAGCAGTCGTGACATTTTTGTTATTGTATTTATATGTATATATATATAGCGTATAAAATATACGGTGATAATATTTAGCCGCCTGGTAATTATTTATTTAATATAAAACCCACCTTAGTCTCATCATACTCTTTACAAATATATCGCTCATTCGGAGTGATGTTTACATTAATGTCAATCTTTTTAATTACCATAAGCGTATTTGTGGCACCGAACCAACGGTAGGATAAAATAGTTAAATTCTTAAGAAAAACTAGTCTCCCTTCATACCCTACCAACTAGTTTAATATAAAAGGTCTAAGAAAATTAGCACACCAGCTCATTTTAGTTCACTCTCACTCTTTATTCCCCCACACTCTTTCATGTTAAAGTTAATAATGTAAAATCCATGTTACTTTTGTCAACCTTAATTATAAGTCTTACACATTTGTTAAAATAATTAATTCAAATCATTTAAATAATTCATCATCTATCTACGAGTCCGAATGGATATCAAGGTAAGTGTAGTCGTAAGAAATGTACTATACTTTTGTAATATTAAGAAATAGGATAGAGTGGATAAGAGGTAGGATTAAGATGATATGAATGGATCCAACACAAACCATATAACCTAAACCACTTCCACTTTCCTCCCATCTTACGCTCGCTTTTCTTTTTATTACAGATTGTTGTCGTCTGCACTTATAGTGATTTTCAGATTATTGTATAAAATTTGAACATAACATGATTATTATTTTAAGATAAGATGCATAGTGTACAATTATCAATTTAACATGAATATATATAATAGCCAGCATACAACATTGTATATGTTATGACAGATGAATAATTTCTTTGTATATAATCGATATTAAATATTGATAATTATTTTTTCATTGATAAATGTAATATGCGCAATACAATGCATTGGGCATATTACGACTTAGAGATCAAATATTTGTAGTAATGTAAAAGTAATAAACCTGTGTTATCATTCTAATTACTTCAATATAAGGTACATTAAAGGGTTAATATATCTACTTTTGAGCATAAATTAATAAAATCGTTCCAGTTGAATCAACCGGACCTCAGTGAGAGATGAACATTTTCATGGAAGGACTTTAAAAAACCCATGTCAAGTCAATATTTTTTTAGTTTCATTGACACCAAAACACATTGGTGAAAAATATATCTTTTAACACGTCAGAGGAAAAAATGAAAGTAAAAAATACTATCTAATAAAATTTATTTTTAATTAATCCGAAAATGTAAAAATTGTTGAATATTTACAAAATTAGTAAATATTTTAAGTGTATGATTAATAGATACTTTAACTTAACAGACAAACAAAATGTGAACAACTTTATTTTATTTTTCATAAAATAAAATCCATAATAAAGTTTTTTTATCACATTATTCATTATTTCATTTTGATTTTGATCGAAAATAATGACGAATGTGCAAAAATAATAATTTATATTTTAATATATTATAAATAGATCAATAAGTCACGTCATATGTTTGAATGAAATAAATAAAAACAATGCATGAAAATAAGATAAAAATTAATAATAAGAAATATGAAATCATAAAAAATATTTATTTGGCCAACTGTTATTAAGTATTAATCTTTTTAAACTGTACACATAGTCAGTTAATACTATTTTTTTTAATAGGAATAACTCACGATTTTAATATGTATTATTTTCACTTTATTCTCTTAAAACTTCCATAACTTTTTTAAAAATGAACAATTCAACATAATTTTTAGCTTCGATGCGAAGCTGAGAAGGTATTAATTTTACTATGATGTGTTTTTTTTTTTATGTCTGTTCCCACTTTTTCTCAGCTCTCACTGGACCGATTTCTTTCAACAATACGT